TCATATTTTAATTCTTTGCTGAAGGTAGTCAAATACTCATGTTTTCAGCAAATTTCAGAAACATTGCAATTTCTCAAACCTGTTATTCCAATATCTGGATTCTCAGAACTAAATTTTATTATAGAAAATGAAAGCACCAAGTGTCTACTTTATTTTGATATATGAAACGGGAAAGAAGGTGAAAGTTAATTAATTGTTATAAGTACAGGGCCATTTTATGCATAAGATGGCTCTTGCTCTTTCTTTGAGATATAAGTTTAAAAGCTCAAAATTTTTGGTAGGTTTGTGACAAGAAACACACCTGTGAAATATGAAAGTCATAATACTATTGTTATTTCAAAGCAAAGGCCAAGATTAAAAGCCTTTCAAAAGAAGATCAAATTCTTAAGTCAAGGACAAACGGGGAAAAATGTAAACCGTTGGGAAAGTCTTGAAACAATGAATAAACAGGTGAAGTATGAAAGTTCAAGCATCAACTTTTCAAAAGTCATGGCCAATGTTAATGTTGAAATTTTTGGGTAAAACTCCAAGGTTAAATATGTTGGTAACCAAAGTACATGTATCAATATGGTGGGACATGAATTAAGGCAATCAAAAATACTTTTTTCCCTTGTCGATATATACCGGTACTAAGTATACTTTAGAAAACGGATAGATTATTCTTTTTTTAAGAGCGCGGTGTGATCTTGATGACCTCATATGCTTAATTAAGGACTTCAGTAGTGGGCAAGTCATCATGGAAAGTAAAGCAAGTAATTGTTTTGCTCATAACAAGAGCTTAGCTTAAATACGCAGGGGATGATGTTTTTATACTATTCCCTGGATGACCAATGGTCATCTGTGGAAATCGGGGATATTTGGTGCAAAGATATCAAATGGTAGGAAAAACGTCTTAGAATTGTAAACTGTTGTGGGTGTCAATACATTTTACTTTTACGGTTATGTCCTTTCTGTCATTTTATTTATCAAATAAATTCTGCAACATGCCTACTTTTATAGTAGTCATATTGCAGAATTGATTTGAAGAAATAAAATATGTCAGAGAGGACAGTTATAAATGTTTTCAGATCTGCAAGAAAAACATTATTCTCCAGTTTACCAAAATTAAGTCTCTACATGTGTATGATTTGCCGGAGACTAGAAAAGCTTGGGTATTGATAAAACATCGACCGTCTATTCAACTGTGCTAAAGAACTTTGTCTAGATGCTGCTCTTCCTATATACATTCTTTTCAAATTAAATATTCATGTTCTTGTGCAATACATGAAGGTAAAAAGGCATTTCGTCAAATTTTGAATTTTGGCAAACAGTTGCTATGGTTACTGTAAGTAGATTAGCCAATTATGTACAATTTTATTAGCTCACCTGAGCCGAAGGCTCAAGTGAGCTTTTCTGATCACATTTTGTCCGTCGTCCGTCCGTCTGTCCGTCCGTCCGTCCGTCTGTCCGTCTGTCTGTCCGTCTGTAAACTTTTCACATTTTCAACTTCTTCTCAAGAACCACTGGGCCAATTTTGACCAAACTTGGTACAAAGCATCCTTGGGTTAAGGGAAATTTAAATTGTTAAAATGAAGGGACATATCCCCTCGCAAGGGGAGATAATCAAGAAAAGACAAAAATAGGGTGGGGTCATTAAAAAATCTTCTTCTCAAGAACCACTGGGCCAGTAAAGCTGAAACTTATGTGGAAGAATTCTGGTTTTAGTTTATATTCTTAATTGTTCAAATCATGACCCCCGGGGGAAGGGCGGGGCCACAATGGGGAATCAAAATTTTTTTATAGAAATATATAGGAAAAATCTTTGAAAATCTTCTTCTCAAGAACCACTGGGCCAGAAAAGCTGAAACTTATATGGAAGCATCCTGGTATAGTGTAGATTCTAAATTGTTCAAATCATGACCCCCGGGGGAAGGGCGGGGCCACAATGGGGAATCAAAGTTTTACATAGAAATATATAGGAAAAATCTTTGAAAATCTTCTTCTCAAGAACCACTGGGAAAAAGCTGAAACTTATGTGGAAGCATCCTGATATAATGTAGATTCTAAATTGTTCAAATAAAGACCCCCGGGGGATGGGTGGGGTCACAATGGGGAGTCAAAGTTTTACATAGAAATATATAGGAAAATTCTTTGAAAATCTTCTTCTCAAGAACCACTGGGCCAGAAAAGCTGAAACTTATATGGAAGCATCCTGATATAATGTAGATTCTAAATTGTTCAAATAAAGACCCCCGGGGGATGGGTGGGGCCACAATGGGGAATCAAAGTTTTATATAGAAATATATAGGAAAAATCTTTGAAAATCTTCTTCTCAAGAACCACTGGGCCAGAAAAGCTGAAACTTATATGGAAGCATCCTGATATAATGTAAATTCTAAATTGTTCAAATCATGACCCCCGGGGGAAGGGCGGGGCCACAATGGGAAATCAAAGTTTTACATAGAAATATATAGGAAAAATCTTTGAAAATCTTCTTCTCAAGAACCACTGGGCCAGAAAAGCTGAAACTTATGTGGAAGCATCCTGATATAATGTAGATTCTAAATTGTTCAAATCATGACCCCTGGGGGAAGGGCGGGGCCAGAATGGGGAATCAAAGTTTTACATAGAAATATATAGGAAAAATCTTTGAAAATCTTCTTCTCAAGAACCACTGGGCCAGAAAAGCTGAAACTTATGTGGAAGCATCCTGATATAATGTAGATTCTTAATTGTTCAAATAATGACCCCCGGGGGATGGGTGGGGCCATAATGGGGAATCAAAGTTTTATATAGAAATATATAGGAAAAATCTTTGAAAATCTTCTTCTCAAGAACCACTGGGCCAGAAAAGCTGAAACTTATATGGAAGCATCCTGGTATAATGTAGATTCTAAATTGTTCAAATCATGACCCCCGGGGGAAGGGTGGGGCTACAATGGGGTATCAAAGTTTTACATAGAAATATATAGGAAAAATCTTTGAAAATCTTCTTCTCAAGAACCACTGGGCCAGAAAAGCTGAAACTTATGTGGAAGCATCCTGGTATAATGTAGATCTAAATTGTTCAAATAATGACACCCGGGGGAAGGGCGGGGCCACAATGGGGAATCAAAGTTTTATATAGAAATATATAGGAAAATTCTTTGAAAATTTTCTTCTCAAGAACCACTGGGCCAGAAAAAGTGAAGCTTATGTGGAAGCATTCTGGGGTAGTGTAAATTCTAAATTGTAGGAATCATGACCCCCGGGGGAAGGGCGGGGCCATTATAGGGAATCAAAGTTTTACATAGAAATATATAGGAAAAATTTTTGAAAATCTTCTTCTCAGGAACCACTGGGCCAAAAAAGCTGAAACATATGTGCCCATGGAAGGATCATGGGGTAGTGTAGATTTCAAAATGTCTAAATTATGATCAGTGGGGTAGGGTGGGGATGCATTATGTATAACAAGGGTGAAATCTGGTAAAAATGGTCAAAGCTTCTCAGGTGAGCGATGTGGCCCATGGGCCTCTTGTTAGTCTTACCAGTGAAAGGGAAAACAAGACATTTTTCTCTCTCTTTCTCTCTCTGTCTCAGAATATCGGGTGGGGTGGGGGTTTAACTCTGTGACATTGGATTGAAATGCATTTGAATTTACGAGATGAAAACTTCTTCAGAGCCGATGGATTTTCTGATGAAAATTAGTTGTAATAGACTTCACATTTTCACTTGTTTCTTCTTCAGAATCAAATTAGAACATAATAGTTTGGTGATTTTTTTCTAGATTGTTACCATGCACAGGGACTTCTTCCAGAAATAAATTTTTAACCCATAGTATAATTATCACACAAGGTATCTAAGTCCGAATTACTCTCATAACCCTTCTCCTCAGAAACGCACTCATTTACATTTTCAGAGGAAATGCACTGGCGAACTGTTTATTACCATTTATTTCTTCGATAATTTATCTACACAACCTTATATGGCATGCATGTCTTTGTTTTCTTTTATCTCCGTAAACAGCGTTAAAACTATGCTCGCCGAGTTGAAAAGTCGAACTCTACTATGAAACGGCATGTGCATAAAAGACAAACCCCTCGTTAAAAGGTACGGTAACTCTGTATAATACATATTTGCTAACAAGGTCATTATGACGACTATAGGATTTACAAAATGCTGACTGCAAACGAGGTTGTTGAAATCCATGTAACATCAATTTATCTGTTAGTAGCCTGACTCAGCTTAAAAATTGATCGTACATATAGAGCAAGATCTTGAGTATCGAATGTTGGCAGATGTAAACACCATATGTAGGTAATAGCGTGAAATTACACTTTTATTATACCTCTGCTGATTTTCCGTATATACATGTAACATTACTCATTAGATCGTTAGATGTGAAACATATGAAGATAACGAACAGTATTCAAGATCAAAAGTCCAAAGAACAATTCAAAATACACGTAGGAGCAGGACTAACACAGACCTCCAAAACATCAGAGGTGGAATCAGGTGCCGACCAGTCACACCCACCATGTACGTGCTCCTTGTCATGTAACTAATTCCCTAAAATCGTTATGAAGGGACTAATCCCCGTGCGTTAGTCAAGTGAGCTTTATCCCTGCTTCCAAAGCTAATTCCAGGTTATCCACAATCCTCTAGATTTTACTTTTACATTGGTATGATATGTGAATGGAATTATCTCCGTGTATTAGTTCAGTGAGCTATAATCCCCTCATTAATTTTGTTGAAGACCGATAACATTAAAGGAAAAATTTCCGTGCAGTTGGCAATATCTATAATTAATTTTTTGAATGTTTAGGAATATTTTTACCGAGAAAAATTTTCTCAGAAAAGCTTTGTTTGTCAAAATTTCATTTTATAAGCTTCCGATATATGACGGTCATATATATTAAGCTTATAATGGACATTCTGCGCCCTTATTAGACCACCTCCTTTGTGACGAATATTGGAAGCACAAAGTCACGTGATGCATGGAAAATCATATGACTGCGTCATATGATACCGAAGAGAACAACATGGGCGCATTAAACACTGCTGGGTTTTTGTGTTGTGTTTTTGGAACAATTTTGTCTCAACAGATTGAAACAGATTGGGTTTCTCTTCAAGAATCAAAAATCTACAATCGACATGCATGTTTTAAGAAGATGTTTCCTGAGGAAATTCGCGTTGGGTAAGATATTTGTTGTTTGTTTTCACTTTCAGTTTGTTTCATAAGTTCATAAGCACCACAGGGGCTTGCTCCCGGCGTATATTAATTATTTACTTTAAAAAATTCATATATGGTAATAATAAAATCGTAGGCCTATATGATTGCTTTAAAATAATAAATAATTATAACACGCAGGGAGCAAGCCCCTGTGCAAGGACTTAAAATTAAATAACAAAAACTTTCGGTTGTTTTATGCGGCCCTTGCTAATTACTTTATATATAAATATACACTGATATAAAGTCTAAAATATCAATCTGAGGGAGATTAATTGACTTTTGAGAGCCTGAGGTCTCTGGACTAAAGTTTATCATTAGGAAATGCTGTTCATGAGTAAAACTATATCTATAGCAGGAAATCAGAACTGAGTATGTCTTGAAAACTCTCAAGCACTCTGGAGGAGGCATATAAATACTTTCCTGGCACTGCTACATCCACGGATGTAGGCGAAAGCCTGTCCACTTCTCCAAAGAGAATACTATGCAGGAACCTTTAAAATTTGCAGTATCATTGATAATTAAACTCCAGGATGCTTTTCAACAATTTATAAAAGGATCAAGGATGACAAATAATTAATAGTAATAGCATTTCCTTTATTGAATATTTGAGATTAACTTTAGAGATTTATCATGAACATGATGAATGCATTTCCTTGCCTATCCTGTGATAAGATATCACTTTCAAAATATCATTCTTTTTTGTAAAGTGTTGTATAATCATGTTAACAAAAAAAGAATAGATATATAATCGATGAATTGGATGTTCAAACTTGGAAACAAAATGACTTTGGAGACACATGTATTTGTTCCTTATTTATATTTCCTCTTAGATTATATCTTACCAAAAAAACAAAACAAAAAAAGCTATTAAACCAAAAGAGACAATGGGTGGATTTATGTACTCTATTAAGTCAGTCACATGATGTCATAAAAGGTATAGGGTAAACAAACATGTACCAGCCGAAGATAAGTTTGTAAACTATAACCAAGAATAACATGAATAAGATACATTATACCAGGCAGTTCAGGAATTAGCATAAATTTAGCATAATTTTAGCATTTGTAAGTATAAACAGGGGTAAATAAGTTATACAGAAAGATTGACAGGTGCATGGTATGTCAAATGCACAAAACTAAGCTAAATTAACAGTCTTATTAGCTCATCTGAGCTGAAAGCTCAAGTGAGCTTTTCTGATTATCTGTTGTCTGTCATCCATTCGTCTGTCTAGCCAGAAAAGCTTAAACTTATGTGGAAGCATCCTGGGGGGAGTGTAGATTCTGAATTGTTAAAAACATTCCCTGGAGGTAGGGTATGTGGGCCACGATAGGGAATCCAAGTTTCACATTGAAATAGATAGGAGAAATCTTTAAAAATCTTCTCCTCGAGTACCACTGGGCCAGAAAAGCTGAAACATATGTGGAAGCATCCTGGGGTAGCGTAGATTCTAAATTGTCAAAAACTTGACCCCTGGGGGTAGGGTGGGGTCACAATAGGTATTAAAAGGGAAAAAAACAGCATGGCCAAAGTTACCCAGGTGAGTGGTGTGGCCTATGGTCCTCTTGTATTTGATAAATTAGTTCTATTGTTAACTTAAACCTTTAGAGTTGTTACTAACCATAGTTTACTAGAAACTATTTAATTAATCTGATTAACAATATTTAGAATTTTGGGTTATTTTTTTTTTTAGAACAAAACCTCGTCCACATGAGTATATGGACATGACTACCCTCCCTAAAAGCTGGGACTGGAGAAACATCAATGGAACAAACTACTGTAGTACCACAAGGAACCAACACATTCCTCAGTGTAAGTGACAACACACTACTGTAATACACTAGGAACCAGCACATTCCTCAGTGTAAGTGACAATACACTCATGTAATACACAGGGAACCAACACATTCCTCAGTGAAAGTGACAATACACTAATGTAATACACAAGGAACCAATGCATTCCTCAGTGTAAGTGACAATACACTACTGTAATACACAAGGTACCAACACATTCCTCAGTGTAAGTGACAATACACTAATGTAATACACTGGGAACCAACACATTCCTCAGTGTAAGTGACAATACATTAATGTAATACACTGGGAACCAACACATTCCTCAGTGTAAGTGACAATACACTAATGTAATACACTGGGAACCAACACATTCCTCAGTGTAAGTGACAATACACTAATGTAATACACAGGGAACCAACACATTCCTCAGTGTAAGTGACAATACACTAATGTAATACACTGGGAACCAACACGTTCCTCAGTGTAAGTGACAATACGCTACTGTAATACACTGGGAACTAACACATTCCTCAGTGTAAGTGACAATACAATACGCTAATGTAATACACTGGAAACCAACACATTCCTCAGTGTAAGTGACAATACACTAATGTAATACACTGGGAACCAACACATTCCTCAGTGTAAGTGACAATACACTAATGTAATACACAGGGAACCAACACATTCCTCAGTGTAAGTGACAATACACTAATGTAATACACTGGGAACCAACACATTCCTCAGTGTAAGTGACAATACACTAATGTAATACACAGGGAACCAACACATTCCTCAGTGTAAGTGACAATACCACTAATGTAATAATGTAATACTAATGTAATACACTGGGAACCAACACATTCCTCAGTGTAAGTGACAGTACACTATTGTGATACACTGGGAATTAACACATTCCTCAGTGTAAGTGACAATACACTAATGTAATACACTGGGAACCAACACATTCCTCAGTGTAAGTGACAACACACTACTGTAATACACAAGGTACCAACACATTCCTCAGTGTAAGTGACAATATACTACTGTAATACACTGGGAACCAACACATTCCTCAGTGTAAGTGACAATACACTAATGTAATACACTGGGAACCAACACATTCCTCAGTGTAAGTGACAATATGCTACTGTAATACACTGGGAACCAACACATTCCTCAGTGTAAGTGACAACACACTACTGTAATACACTGGGAACCAACACATTCCTCAGTGTAAGTGACAATACACTAATGTAATACACTGGGAACCAACACATTCCGCAGTGTAAGTGACAATACACTTATGTAATACACAGGGAACCAACATATGCCTCAGTGTAAGTGACAACACACTACTGTAATACACTGGGAACCAACACATTCCTCAGTGTAAGTGACAATACACTAATGTAATACACAGGGAACCAACACATTCCTCAGTGTAAGTGACAATACACTAATGTAATACACAGGGAACCAACATATTCCTCAGTGTAAGTGACAACACAGTACTGTAATACACAGGGAACCAACACATTCCTCAGTGTAAGTGACAATACACACACTACTGTAGTACATAAGGAGAGGTTGTACATAGGCCTTGCCTGGGAACAACACATTCCTTATTGTAATTACAACACATAAAATATGTTTAAAGTGTAAGTGACTACACTGTAGTACATGTACCACACAAAGTGTGATACAATACACTAATGTAATACACAGGGAACCAACACATTCCTCAGTGTAAGTGAAAATACACTAGTGTAGTACATGTACACATTCCTCAGTGTAAGTGACAAGTGTGACACAATACACTTGTGTGATACACTACTGGAACACAACCAACACATTCCTCATCTCTGTGATTTTTCAGGGAACAAACATCTTGTGCAGTACACGATTGTGATACACTGGGAATTAACACATTCCTTTGTGTAAGGACAATACACTAATGTAATACACATTTCCAAATTTTTCTCAGTGTAAGTAACCCTTTGTAATACACAGGGAAGTTGATTTCCTCAGTGTAAGTGACAATACACTAATGTAATACACTGGGAACCAACACATTCCTCAGATTAAGTGACAATACAATACTGTAATACACTGGGAACCAACATATTCCTCAGTGTAAGTGACAATACACTAATGTAATACACAGGGAACCAACACATTCCTAAGGTAAGTGACAATACACTAAATATGAACCAACACATTCCTCAGTGTAAGTGACAATGCCTTTGTGTACACAGGGAACCAACATATTCCTCAGTGTAAGTGACAACACAGTACTGTAATACACAGGGAACCAACACATTCCTCAGTGTAAGTGACAATACACACACTACTGTAGTACATAAGGAGAGGTTGTACATAGGCCTTGCCTGTTGCCCAATCCTTATTGAATTATCACAGTACATGTACCACTAGAAAGTGTGATACAATACACTAGTGTAATACACAGGGAACCAACACATGCCTCAGTGTAAGTGATAATACACTAGTGTAGTACATGTACCACTAAGAACCAGTGTGACACAATATACTTGTGTGATACACTAGGAACCAACAAGCGACATTACCCCATCTCTGTTGATTTTTCGACAAAATCTTGGCTTACGATTGGTTGAAGGAAGTCTGTCACATGAAGGAGGTTGATTACTAATACACAGTCAACTGTGAATCAATACGTGGTTGATTTATTGTGTATCTGACACAACGTGATGTCATAATAGGCACAGTATAACGTGATGAAGCATGTACCAGAGAAAAACAATTGTAAACCACAGATAATACGTAAATGTTACATCGGTGGGGTAAATTCGTTACATAGTTTTTTAGTGACAGGGTATGGGATGATACCTGGTTAGTAAATTTCATACCTGACTTGGCTCCCCCTCGTCAGGTATGAAATTTACTAACCAGGTATCATCCCGTACTCTGTCATTAAAAGACTATGTAACTAATACTGTAAACCAACTTTTATTCGCATGCGAGAAATTTTAGTGAAGTTCGCGAGAGCCTCGTCATCGCAAATATTTCTCACCGCGAACTAGCTGCAGATCTGTAGCGTTATGGTTTTATATATTTGTCTTTGACCATAACGCTACAGATCCCCTAGTGCAAAAAAGGTGCAATTTACGGCGCAATATTTTTTGCGCTCTTTTGGAGAGAATTTTTCCACTTTCCAGCATCGTTCAATCAACTACCTTTCAACCCCTAATTCTAGACACATTATTTAATTAATCTGTATATTTTATCCATCTCCCAACCCTTTATAGTCGTCTCTACAAGTGATAAACTCGCTTGATTAAAATTATTTGTTAGACTACTGAAAATTCATATCCAGCGAGTTTATTGCCTGTAGAGACAACTATAAATGGTTGGGAGGTGGATAAACTATACATATTGGCCACAGAATGTGTCTAGAATTAGAACGTGAAAGGTAGTTGATTGACCAAAGCTAGGAAGTGGAGAAATTCTCCCCAAAAGAGCGCAAAAAATATTGCGCCGTAAATTGCAACTTTTTTGCACTACGGGATCTGTAGCGTTATGGTCCAAGACAAATATATAAAACCATAACGTTACAGATCTGCAGCTAGCCGCGAACCTGTCCTTAAAGTCTCTATATCTATTAACAAAAGATCTTAACAGGCTTGATCGTGAAAATAAATCGTTGCGAACTAGTTTAACCCCGGTAAATCGCGAAATAAAGTCGTCGCGAATAAAAGTTGGTTTACAGTAATACACTCACTACTGTAGAACATGTACCACTAAGAAACCAACACATTCCTCAGTGTAAGTGACAATACACAACATAAAAAGTATATATGCAAAAGTATTTCCCTTGTGCAAGTTTATCTTGTATGGTCATATTTGGACATAAATACAGTGTATTGTCTGTTGAGCTTAGTTTATTTTAAAAGTGGAAGTGCGAGACAGAAAACATGTGTGATAACCATTTCCTCTAAATCTCCGTCATCTTTAACAGTTTGAAATAAAATCATTTAATCTACAGGAAGTAATTAAAATGTGTTTTTTATTTTGAAATAAATGAAAAATATTGGAAGTTGCACACACCCATTACATTTCTCGTTCAATCTCTGTGGGTGCCTGACCAAGCAAAAAATCTCAAGTAAAAGTAATATAATTTTTCTTTAATGGTTATTTCAATTGGGGCCCCTTAGGGGTAGGATGGGTCTGTAAAGAGGGCCAAAGTTTTATATTGGACAAAGTTAGGAAAATTATTTGAAAATTGATCTGATTAAAAGAATTATAGCCTCAGGTTGACTTCTCGATATTTCCAGCATCCCCATGTAGTGTAATTTTTGCAGTCGGAAATTTCATGAAAAATTGAAATTCTTATATTTCTGAAGAAAAAAGTAGAATTAATAATATACGGTTATTGACTGGTTATGAGGGCAACATATGATTTGTTGGACCTGAAGGTGAAGATGTTGCCCGAGGCCGCAGGCCAAGGCCAACATTTTCACCTTCAGGTCCAACAAATCATATGTTGCCCGAATCCCAGTCTATAACTGTTTTGTTATACCCTTCAGTGCTCACTTGAGATTTAATCAATACACACTATATTATCATTACTTTATATGGAAAATTATGGCTTAATCAGTAAATATAAAACAATAGCTGAGAAAGAACAAAATTAATTATATTTTTATTATATCACAAAAACTATTTATCACAAAACATATACTCTTCCCTTCTTCCTTGCTAGAAGCAACAACTCTTACAGCTCTTAACTTCGGCTATTTCCGTGTCGCCGATATTGAACGATGATTAATTACTTGTGACGTAGCAGTGACGTTGCGGTCTAACAATTCTTATGTTGGACCGGCAGGCCGGTCAACAGTGAAATTGTTAGACCAATGTAATAAACATTTCTTTTGTTGGACTTTTTATAAGTAATAAATATATAGAAAGATATATATAAGGGTATAACAATAGGAGTCATATTCATATACGACCATTCCTATGAATTGTCGATTCAGGTTTGATTGAATCAAATTGGTCTTTTCTGGTCAGGATGTAGCCATCATTGGGGAATCAAAGTTTTGAATGGGGAATAAATAGAGGAAAATTCATTTAGAAAATTTTATAGGAATATGTAGGAATTTTAAAAAAAAAATCTCCTAAGAAAGCAAGGACAAGGTTATTTGGTTGAGGATTATAACTTTTTGTCTATTTTTTGAGATATGTAATAATTCTGAGATATCTTTTTTCCCCCCAGACTGTGGATCTTGCTGGGGAATGGGCTCCACCAGTGCTTTAGCCGACAGAATCAACATCAAGCGTAAAGGTGCCTGGCCGTCAGCATACCTGTCAGTGCAGCACGTGATAGACTGTGGGGGAGCAGGAAGTTGTGAGGGAGGGGACGACGTGGGCGTGTGGAAGTACGCCCACTCACACGGCATACCAGACGAAACCTGCAACAACTATCAGGCAAAGGATCAAAGTAAATAAGGAAAATTTTGAGAGAATAAGCATTTTAATTGATAGCAAATCAAGCTCTTATTTTGAATGATAGGCTTTACTGAAATATCATTTAATTTTGGTTGTAATGCCTCATTTGATTGGAAAAAAAAATCTAAATTGTATAACCTGAGTTGCCTATGTCACAATGACTTAATTTCGTCAAAAATGTATCAATCCACTTGCATGACGTTATGTTTGAAATATGAACAATTTGAAGACATTTTTAAGGGAGAAATTGTCTTGTTTTCTGTTCTTAATGATTGACTACACTAAGATACATAATGTAGTGCATTGGTTTTAATTTTGATGAACGATGTTGCCATGTTTACTAGAAATAGAAATTTCTGTGAAATTCTTTTAAAATGCGCCTCCTCCTACAGTTTTGGTCTGATTTCAATTTAACTTTGCACACAAGTAGACTACACAAAGATACATAATTTAATGGATTGGATTTTGATTTTGATGAACAGTGTTGCCATGGTTACCTAAAAATGGGATTTCTGTGAAGTTCCTTTAAAACGCTACTTCTACAATTATAGTCTGATTTCAATACATGTATAATTGGCACACAAGTAGACTACACTAAGATACACAGTGGCGAATCCAGGAATTTTGAAACGGGGGGAGGGTGCAGTAGAAGGCAGTCGGTCTGGCGGCTGGACTGAAGCCCCCAGTGGGTCGAAGACAAGGTACAACAAGAAATATGACCTAGGAGTAGCACTGTTAATTATATAAGCTCAGTTTGACCAATTTTTCTTGAACAATGATTGAAATTTAACTTTATTCTGTACTTATTTTGTTTTAATAAAAAATCATAGTTTCATATTCAACAGAAAAAATAGTTTATGGTATGATCAAAATGGGAAACCACCAAACGAAAGTAAATGAATGTTATAAACAGTCAAAAATATAATATAAATCAGGTCTCTGTCATAGCAAAAAACAACTTTGCTGTCTGTCGCCCCAGTTGCCGGTAATAGGGTGTGCCTTTTGTTCTTGTGAGCAATTATTGAAAAATTCCATGATTTCTCTTATCCAACATGACACAAAAATGACTTCATTCAAATGTCTAAAACTGATAAAGTGCAAGTGATTGCACTCTTACAATGACAGTAAGATGTGATTGTGAAACACTGATGCCTCTGTTCTCACAAGAAATACATTGTGAAATATGAAAGCACTAGCACCATTGTTCAAAAGATATGGCCAATGATAAGTGTTTGAAAAGTAAGTGAAACTCCAAGGTCAAAGGGTCAAAGTTGTTGGTTTCTTAAGACAGTGGTCTTGTCAAAAGGATTAAATATGTTAAGTATGAAAGCCCTAGAACTAACCATTCAAAAATCATGGCCAAATTAAGATTAAAAAAAAAAAGTAGGTCAAACTCCAAGTTCAAGGTCAAAGGGTCAAAGTTCTTTGTAACAAATGAAAGGTTTTGTCACAAGGATTAAGTATTTGAAGTCTGAAAACCCTAGTTCTTACCCTCCAAAAGTTATTGTAAAGGTTTCTTTATAAAAGTAGGCCAAACACCAAGATCAAGGTCAATCGGTCAAAGTTCTTGGTATCTGATGAAAGAAATTCTCTTAAAGGATTACAAATTTGAAGTATGAAAGCCCTAGTCATTACTGTTTAAAAGTTTTGGCCAAGATTAAAGTTTTTTCATAAGTACAGAAATCTCAAAGGTCAAGATCAAAAGGTCAAAGTTGTTGGTATCCAATATAAGGTCTTGCTACAAAATATACATGACTGTGTGAAGTATGAAAGTCTTTGTATCTACTGTTCAAAAGTTATGACCAAAGTAAAAGTTTGGAATTTTTGTGTAAAGTGGGTCAAAATCTAAGGTCAAGTTCAAAAGGTCGAATCTGATGGAACTAAAGAAAGGTCTCGTCACAAGGAATACACATGTAAAATATGAAAGTCATACTGCTCCACTAAATCAAAAGTTATGGACAAGGTTAAAGTTTTTTGTGGACAAACAGACTGAAAAACAGCATATAAGACAGAGAGATGGACGGACGCGACTAAAACTATATACCCCCAAACCTTTGATTACAGAGGGCATAAAAAGTATTGCAATGAATTTTTATTAATGTCTGCCTTTAATTAATTTTGTTGTACTTTGAAATTACAGAATGTGATACGTTTAACCAGTGTGGAACCTGTGTAACATTTGGAAAATGTTTCCAGCTGAATAACTACACCCTATGGAAGGTCTCAGACTACGGAACAGTAAAAGGTCGAGATAAAATGATGGCTGAAATTTATAAAAATGGTCCAATCAGGTTAGATTCAGAAAATTGATATTAGTCCATGTAATTTCTTTAATACACACAAGAGAAGAGTGCAGCTGGAAAAAGAAAAACATGATATTATCTAATTAAATAATGATAACATATTAAGGGCCCCAGATGGAGGAGACCTATTGGAATCATGTCGTGATCTGTCAGTGTATCTGTGCATGTCAGCACCTCCATTTTGACTGTCAACATCTGAAAGATTTTTGCACTTTAACATTCTAAAATCCTTTTGAACAGAAATACATCGCAAAGCTTCACCCTGTTGTCCCAGGGGCAGCAAAAATGGGAAATATCTTTCTCAAGAGAGTGGGAAAATGATAGGAATTCTAAAAAATTGTTAGCATTTCTTGGGAAATAAGTATTAGCTTTATGTCTCAACGATAAAATTTTGTTTTAAATTTGAGTTCAGTTTGAGTTCATACTTAGGTAGTCTAATTGCTATCATTTCCTTCTGTCTGTATATACTTTATTTCAGTAAAGGTTGCAAAATGTAACATTTACATGTAATTTTGCGATGTTTTCCACTTAATTACATGTATTTTATATGTTCTTTTTTCAGTTGTGGAATTGATGCTACTGATAAACTAGAAGCATACACTGGTGGAATATATACAGAAAAGAAATTTATGCCGATGGTAATGAAAATTTAAGTTTACAGCATCAGAAAAATGTTATACAATGTGCAAATAATAATCCATAATCAAATTTCCTTATATTTTCATCAGGTAAACCACATTGTATCAGTAGCAGGCTGGGGATTTGATCCAGCCACAAAAACAGAATACTGGATCGTAAGGAACTCCTGGGGAGACCCCTGGGTAAGGAATTCACTGATTGGTTGTCAGTGTTGTCAACAAAGGCAACTCCAAATACTAAAAATAGTTTGAACCCCAAATTATTCAAAGAAGCATTTTTTGAAAATATTAAGTCCAAATATCACTCAAAATAAGAAAATTTACATTAGTTTATAAAAACAAAAATAAAATTGAATCCCTGTAGATGAATTGTGATTCTGGACAATCATTTCTTCTTTTGTATGTTAACAATGCTTTAAAGAAGATGCATGCCAGACATTGACTTTCTCCATTTTAGGGTGAACATGGCTGGTTGAGGATTGTGACCAGTGCCTATGATGGAGGGAAAGGGAACGACTATAACCTGGCTATAGAGTCCAGGTGTGCTTACGGAGACCCCATCATTCCACCTGGTTACTAAGGAGACATGTCTCTGATTGGTCAACTACATGCATGAAATTCTCATCACTCTATGCAAATTATTTCTTCCCATCAATTTATCATTTTGTATTCAAGAAACTTGAAATCAGCTGAAAGTAAAGACAAATATTTAAAATTACTCTGCACAGGGTTATTTTTACTTTTTTACGCTTTTTGACACTTGCAAACAATTTTGCCCCATTAAAATTCACCCAGTCACAGTTTCTTTTAAGAAATTATGCTGTTTCCTTTAAATTCACTGCATTTTAAATTCACTGGGTGACCCACCTATGATGGGGCAAAATTTAAATGGGGGCAAAATTTTCCCAGTATACGGTACGTATTGGATTGAGGAATGCATCTCTTTTTGTGAAACCTGGTAATACTTGTGTTTGTAACTGCTCCAAAGAAGTGATTATATGTACTGTATGCAATTGCCCTCTGATTTGCATTTGATTCTTATTCTTTTTTTATATACAAAGTGTTGTGATATCATACGTGGTATCTAGAGTGATCTGATATTAAATACTAGATTGTTTTGATTGATATGCCAAATGTGCAGTAAATTAATTTTAATTAAACTAAATCACATTATTTTAAGTTTTCCTTGTGAATACTGTTCAGCTTAAATTTCATTTTAATTAACTCTGTGTGAACAGGGCAGTACAGTTTTTTTTTAAAAGATATTTTGACAAATACTCTCACATTGTTTAATTTAACACAATGAAATAATTTTTTTTTTTAACTGCATTGAATATTTTTTATTTGCAGTTTTCTAATAACAGCTGAATAATTACATGTGTATTTGTTACCAAGAATGCAAGTACCGGTACTTCATCAATAAAGTATATGTTCCTAGGTTCAATATTTCTTTATTATCTATTTGATAAATTATGGAAATCTAATATTTGGCACTATAAGCACCTTGTTCTAATACCAATGAGGATTTTTAGAGATATGTTTTTTTGACCTCATGAGTGCCATGTTTTTAATGATGTTATACATGTATTTCTAATTCTAAAAGATATCTGGTAATATTCTTAAACTGTCACAAAATCTGTACTTGAAATTGTTTTTCAATGTTGGTTCTTTTAATATTGTTTTGTACTATTTTGACATTATCTTTGTGTCCTCAAGGAGAACAACCATGTCTCATCTTGCAGTCCTCATTTTATAAAAAAAAACCTTTTGCCAGCAGTATAAATACATATATATTTTAATTTAATACCATTTCATAATTAAAAACAAATCAAATATGTAAGAAGTTTTATTTATTTATGGTAAAAAGTCTTTAATTGAAGGGAAATTATTTTTTGATGAACCACTTACATGTATATCCATTTCATTATGTTTTGAATTTTCCCAGAGTGATTACATGTAGTGTGCACTACTACATGTACTTTATCCTGAACCCTTATTGTTTAATTTGTTTGTCTTCTTAAACATCCCTTTTGAGAATTTTTCACTCATATTGAGATGCCACCACTTGCAATTGGAAGGGTACAAATTCTGTCCTATTACTTGGCACATACGGCCATTGAGCAGTGAGGGATCTTTTTTGTGCCAGCACCTAATGCGACAGGGGATCTCGGTTTATACTGTCTCATCACAAGGACCTGTATCCACTTGTCATAGAAGGATTTGAACCCATGATGTAAGGATTATAAAACTCCTAACTTCTTGGCTCTAGAGCAGAAATTCTAATCACTGGGGATCCAAGATAACTTTACTATATCCATGAATTCGCAATATCCGTGTTTGTACCAAGCAAATTTTACTGTATATCTGTATTTGAAATCTATTTCAATTGGAAGCAGACCATTACATTATGCTCTAGACCTACCTTTCTATCTATAAAGAGATAACTCTCACACTCTGAAAGTGATCATAAAATTTTTCTCCAAAATGAGATTTGCAGGACTAGAGCAAAATTAAGGTTAAAACATCCTGAGGGAAATTGAACACATTAAACATGCACAATTATTTCTAAAAAAATGTGTTCTATATATAAACATAACTGAGGTTGCCTTAAATCAACTTGAAAAAGGTAAAATTAGTGTTCCCATCAACAAAACAGTATTTGTGATGCAAATCTCATATCATATTTTTTATTCAGTGTGAATACCGATATCAATATCCATGAGGTTTAGTTTAAGAAGGATTTTTAATTTCTTGGGAATGAAATGGGATTTGGTCACAAATCAAGATGTCTTTCAGTTCTAACATGCCAAGCAAGTGTTCATCCTTATAGACGATGCATCATCAATGCAAGTTTAATCACTAGAGGTACTGTGAGCAATCGGCTCACTAAATTATAGTGAGCTGATAGAAATTATACCCCCCGCCTCCCATATGAATATAATGGCAGTGTCCATGTTTAGTGTTTTACAGTAAGGTGTAAAGAGGAATACCTCCGCCACACCTCACGTCATAGGTAAGAATATAATGGCATTTTCCATGTTTTGCTATGGGAAACCCAAAATATGCATCGGATCAAAAAGTAAAATAAGAGGTCACAATGGCATTATGTAATAAAGATTCTCTGAAAGTCTCATCAAATTTCATTCAGTGGTATAAGAGGAGTTGCGGATAAAATGGTGGGTACCCCAAAGCATAACAACGAACAGACAGCTAGACAGACATACAGCTAGACTGACGGACATCCCGATTACTATATACCCTCCCGCTTTTCAAGGGGGGTATAATAACAGGCCATATAGTAACAGATCTTCATTTACTCACCTGAGCCAAAGGCTCAAGTAAGCTTTTCTGATCACATTTTGTCCGTCGTCCATCCGTCTAGCTGTCCGTCCGTCTGTTAATTTTTTCACATTTTCAAATTCTTCTCAAGAATCACTGGACCAGTTTTAACCAAACTTGGTACAAAGCATCCTTGGGTGAAGGGGAGTTTAAATTATTAAAATGAAGGGCCAAGTCCCCTCACAAGGGGAGATAGTCAAGAAAAGACAAAAATAGGGTGGGGTCATTAAAAAATCATCTTCTGATGAACCACTGGGCTAGAAAAGCTGAAAGTTATGTGGAAGCATCCTGCGGTAGTGTAGATTTTAAATTGTTCAAACCATGACCCCGGGGGTAGGGCTGGGCTGCAATAGGGAATCCAAGTTTTACATTGAAATATACAGGAAAAATCCTCTTCTGAAGAACCACTGGGCCAGGAAAGCTGAAATTTATGTGGAAGCCTCCTGGGGTAGTGTAGATTCTAAATTGTTCAAACCATGACCCCCAGAGGTAGGGGGTCGCAATAGGGAATCTAAATTTTACATTTAACAGGAAAAATCTGATGAAGAACCACTACTGGTCCAGAGAAGCTGAAATTTATGTGGAAGCATCTTGGGGTAGTGTAGATTCTAAATTTTTCAAATCATGACCCACGGGGGTAGTGTGGGGCTGCAATAAGGATTCCAAGTTTTACATTGAAATATATAGGAAAAAAATCTTTAAATATCATTTTCTCAAAAACCACTGTGCTAGAAAAACTTGAACTTATGTTGAAGTATCCGTGGGAAGTGTAGATTCTTAATATTATCCAAATCAAGAGCCCCACAAAAGGTATTACTGGTGAAGAACAGCATGACCAAATTTACTCAGGTGAGAAGCTATAATAATAGAAATTTATGGACATTCAATGGGGAAATATGGGTCAGATCCAGGATCCAAAGTAAGTCTGGAAGTGTTCATGCCTAGATACATCATCCAGTCTAATTTGGTTAAAGTATGGCTAAAATTCACTCAACTGGAAAGTATATAGGTCAGATCCAGCATCCGAAGGTTTGTTTCATCCCTAGATGCATCATCCATGTAAGGTTGGTCCATTTAGAGCCTGTAGTTATTTTGGGATGAAACTGCTCTAAAAACCTTTTACTTGCATGCCGATGCTAGTGCGGACACTGGGGGGTATAACATAAGCTCATCTTGACTTCATCAACGTGAGCTAAAAATTTACTTTTTACACTATTTGAAATATTATATGATATAAAAAGTGTTGTCAGTTAACCTGGCCATACCCTGCATGACATTCTAACATTATTTCTGTAACATTACAGAGATGTGCCAAGGGATGAAGAAGGATCAGTAAAATGGGGCAAATAAAATTCTCCAGATAAAGTCTATATTACTTCCTTAAATTTCAAGTTAATTTGTAAGCTGGAGGTTCTTAGGGCAGCATAGTGACCTCATTATTAGGCTACACATGTATCAGCTCTTCAATGTAAAACTGCTTGTCCAAAATATGCCCTCTGCATGATCGCCCATAATAAATTTGGTAATTTTTTTCATGTTGATGAACCACACTGACTATCAAGATGAAACCTTATGAATGTTTTAAAACGTTTATTATCAGATCATGTTTGACAAATAACATATGAAAAAGCACGCAACATTTAATAAAAGCAAAGTAATAGCTATGAAAAGTCTTAATTCTGATGACAATTTCTCTACTGCCTTCTCTACATAATATTGAAACCAACAATGCTATTTTGCACATTAAGCTTGAAACATCCTAATTTAAGAAAATAATTGCATTGATCATTTATATGAATTTTAGGTCAAGATCTAGTTGTTAATCCTTCAATCTAATAGAATGACATTATGAAATACCCTGAATTTTAATTCAAATAAATGTATTCCATGAACAATTAGTAAAATTTTTAGTCTCATAATTGTATAAATTCTTAACTTTAAACAAATCAAAATCATGATCAGCTAGTTTTTTAAAACTTGTAGGATTTCTTGTGTAGCATACATACATTACAAAGTATTTTCTATGAATGAGTATGTAAATGTGAAAACTATGAGTTTTACTTTTTTCAAAAATGGGGGGGTTAAGTTTGATTATTTTATAAAATAAAAAAAAAAACTGCTGTGAAAAAAATGTTCATGATTACATTGAAAAAAAAAATTGTGTAAATACTATACATCCTAATTCCTAGATCTTGACCTCTCTCTTATGAAGATGAATTGTCTTTTCAGATGGCCATTCCAAACAACAACTATTTTTTTTTTTTAATTTCAATACAAAGATCAATGTGTACAGTACAATAAACATAAAAAATTACCCATCATTCTGAAAATACTTTATATTAATTTCTGATCTATAGTTTCTCATCAAAATGCAAAAAAGTTCAAATTCTTAGAATCTACTTGTCTAGACAGGAACATTATGATTGGGAATTCCACCTAACAATTTGTTCATGCTTGTAACATAAATGGTACAACTGGAATGGCTAAAAACAACAATTATCACAGAACATCTAAAGTTCATGGCACTCTCATATGTAGCAAAAAAAAATGCAGACACATTGAAAAACTGGTCAACCCATCTTCTGATATCAAACTGCAATACAATGCAAGCTTGTAATTAAATACAGCCCCAAGAAAAGGTCAATTCCCCTTTTCTTGATACGATTCTAAAGATGAAGTCTAACAAAGAGGCTCTAGTAAAAGAATTCAGCTCTGAAAAGCCTTGTAAACAATCAAAGTTAACCTTATAGAAATCTGTAGGAACTGACACATGAAATGCCTACGTTGATGTGGGTGGGATAAACACAGACATGAATTATATATATATTGAAATGACCTGTACATGAAATTGCACTCCAATGTGTTAACCATATTACCTAAAATTTCATAAAATAAAATAACTCTATGTGTATGCAGCCTATTAAAAAAAAGTTGATTGAAATAAAACACATATTGCCACAATTAAAAGGATAACACATTTTACCATGATGGATTTTTTTCCTTCTTTTTAATCAGAGTAATAAATAAAATGAATTTAATGACAGAAGTATGAAAATTAAGGCACCATATAGACTAATAGAGCAACTTGTAGTTTATAAGATCATGTGGAAAAAATTGACTAGAAATGCAATATCAATGATAATGCTTTAAGATTTACACAAAACACCACATAGTTAACAGTAATTTGGAAAGTCGGTGATGATATTGGTATAACGACAATAATTTGTGTTCTGTGCATTATCCTAAATATTTTTGGTTTAATGCCTGATTGATTTAGATAAAATATATGAAAGTCTTTCTAAAATAATTACATCAAAATACTCTTGTGTATACATATTTTACGGAACAAGTTGATAATGGTGTAGAGGACAAGATATGGTAATGGCCGAATCTAGCCCTTTATTTTACGCAAAAATCGGAAAACATTTCAAATTGTGACAGCTTGTAGTTAAGAACTTAAAATGATACTCATTTTAAAAACTGTACCAATATTGATTTGAAACATACACGGAGGGCAAAAAAGCGTGCAGAAGTAAGACATTTTTTAAAAAATTTCCTCAGTTATGTTGGAATTCCGTCAAATTTGAGATACTTTTCACTTTGGAAAACATAAAGCACAAGCTTGCCTATGTGAGATTTTTATACAGAAGATGCATCTGATACTTGTGTATAAAATATTTAAATTTGTTAGATAGGCAAGCTTGTGCTTTGTCTTCTGAAACAAAATATACTGCAGAATCGAAAATTTGCATAAAAATGAGAAAATTCAGAAATTGAGATATTTTCTGACCTTCCAGTGACCACGGTGCATCCCATGACTTGAAACCAACACTCATTTTGTGGCAGGGACAACAATAGGTTTTTATTGATAAATTATTGCATCACTCTAAAGAACACCCCAAACCAGGAGGCACAAATAGGAATCTTAGCCTTGTCCTTTGCTGGATCATTATTGCATGCTGATCAACTTTTTGTTCCTTTTTATTATAATTTATATTAAGTGAGCACAATTATGCCAGAAATGTAAAGCATCTTCATAAAGAAATTGGTAGAAATTCTATAAAATAAGTTCTTGGACTTGGGGCAAGTGGGAGAAATCATGATGTTGCTGTATACAGAATCTGTGTAAATCCCTGTATAAATCATATAGAAATGTGTCTGTGTGATAGCTTTGCTCAATCATTACTGCACTATTAAATTTAGAATGATCATAAAATCATACCTTTATATTAAATAAATATACTGATAGTACATGTTGGTGCCTAGTATTCCATAATTCCATAATATACAGCTGTGATAAATTATTTTAGTATGCTGAAATAAATTACTTGTACAGTCTACCCCCTGTAAAATCTGTAGGACTAGAATCAAATGAAAATAAAAGATGAGCATTCCATAACATTAAAGCAACACTGATATAATGCTTGTACATATAAGATAAAACAAGACCAACAATAAACACAAATGGCTAGCTAATGAAGCCTTCAAAACAATCAGTCACTCAATGAGCTTATATGTAAATGGGTACATTAACACTATCAATCAAAATGTCACAAAAAAATGCACACATTCACCCTTCTTACACAAAATACTTTAGATCACAAAGAGGGGGGGTTCCATCAACAATAAGCTATACACTGTATATACACCTGTATATTACCACGTCACAGAGGTTTCCAAATTGACCTAGACCGACACCCTATTGGTCTGTCCCATCACACACTCTGACAACAAATCTGGCATTATGTGACTAGATAATAATAACAATCAATTCTATCCCCAAAACTGAGGAAGAAAACAGAATTACATGAAATGCACTAATGAGTTTGAATGCTCCAAAATGAAATTTGGTTCTGAAAAAATAACTACAGTGGACCTTCAGGTATCCGGATACATCAGTACCCGGACGATTTTTCATTGGAACAGAATTTTTAAATGTTATTTTGTCTTGTTTAACTGGTAACTTAGGTATCCCAACACTTCACATATCCGGACAAATTGACAGGGAACCAAAGCGTCCGGATAAATGAGGCTCCACTGTACTTGTGAAGAAAATACAAGAAAAGACCATACTGTATTATGGTAACTTTGGAGTTATTTTTTTTATCAAATGAATGGTACATTGCCAAAAGTTTAACTTGAAACAAGGAAAATAAGATATTCTGAGAAAAAGATGAATAATGCGAATAAACTGAGTTTGTAAGCCCAATTTCAAACTATCAAAAGTAAAATAAATTTACTCTGTTGCAAATTGGCCCCTTATTCCTTCTGTTTTGTATTGGGAAATGCTTTTTAAAATGTAAATAATTTTTTGGTGAAACAAATAGCACTCTTAAAGAATCAGCACCTGATAAAAAAAGAATTTATCATAGAGACAGAAAGACAATACTTAATATGCGCGATAAAATAAGAAAATCAACATATGGCTTCCGAAAAATATAACAACAAAACAGACACAAACATAAGATGTTTTCAACAAAAATATTTCTACTCTTTAATTTGCGTAAAAAAGTATTGATTCTAGTAGAAAAATGTATCCATGAACTGTGAATAAAAATTGCATGTATTAGACATGTTGTCTAATCCAGGAAAAAAAAACTTAAAGCATATTAAAACTGGTATAATTTTTGCTGAAGTACAGAGAAAAATAACAATTTATCACTCTGATGACAGTCATGAAATTGTACACATTAATAACGTCATTTACAGCTGATGGTAATGAAAGCTACGTACAGAGATAAAAATAGTAACACTACTCTGTCAAAAGATAACAATATTTGTTGACACTCGCTTCAGGCACCTCCCTGTGTATTGGAAAATGACACCGACACTGAATACAACAAAGGGGGATCTGAGCACATTATGCAAATAAATATACATGATAACTTTCTAATAACAAGTAGTTTAAAAAAATCTGTAACTAAATTGAATACATCATCTCCATGAAGCACAGTAATGATCAGAAAACATGACCTGCTGCTTATTATGTTCTTGTCATCAGTGAAGGGTAGAGATGGGGGCCTTCCCGGAGGTATTTCATGGTGGTAGAATCTTCTTCCTTTTCCATTCTCCCATGTTCTATCCTACGGAATACAGCGGAACACATTCAGTTGTAGGGAGTTCTGATTCCTGTTGAGATGACAAACTGCTGGCCGTCTTTTGTTCACTGTCACACAACAGAGGGTGGTCACATACAGGAGACATGAGATAGTAAGTATGACTGTATAAACTGGGGGAGGACAGGGGGACATCACCAGGCATCAGTATATCTCACATCACATTCCTGTAATGCCGGCAGCTTCTCCTGAACAGAGAGACAGGGATACATTTTTAATAGATTATATGTAGGGGCACACAAAACTCAAACAAGTTTACGTCATATACTGTAAACCAACTTTTATTTGTGGTGCGAGAAATTTTTGCATAATTCGCAAAGGACTTGTCATAGCAAAAATTTCTTGCTGCAAACTGATCCTTAAAGTCTCTGTGTCTATTAACAACAGATAAAAAGGCTTGATCGCAAAAATTAATCATTGCAAACTAGTTTAACCCCAACATCAGGAAAGCATTATTTTCTTCTCTTCTTTACTTTATGTTCAACTTACCACAAGTCCTTCAAATGTTAATTTGGATAAACTGGTGCTGTTAAGATTGAGTTTTCTGAGATTCTTTAAAGCTGAAATAAAAATTTAAACATTGTTAAGTACTGAAGGATATTCCAATATGTCATACTGTAAAATCACACATTTTCTAGAGGTCAAATTTTCGAGGTTTGGGTAAAAAATATTGGTTTGAGGGATTTGATTTTCTGGTTAGAAAATGTTGAGTAGTAATGAACATGAAAATTTACATTTCACACTGGTCATAAATTCATGGGTGTCTCAATACCTTGAAAACAATGAAATTGTGAAATTACCCCCCCCCCCCCAAAAAAAAAAAGAGTGATTTCACAGTATTTAGTATTGAAAGCTGGTCACCCCTTGAGATAAATGGGAAATGATCTTAATGCTGAACTTGACCTTGCATCTATTCACAAAACAGACATGATTTGATGTTAATCCCCAATCTCTACCCAGAGTTATAGTTTGCTTTGCTACATTACCTCTGTCAACGTCTAAATGACAAGATTTTTGGCAAACCTTACTTTTACATATTGCATCATAAATTATATATGTAAAACTTCTATACTCTTGCTTAACATGTTAAATGTAAGTTTATTTATGAGAATTAGAATCAGATACCACTTATTAACAATATCTCATAAGAGATTATTTCTCGGCAGGATATTAAGAACGTGGAAAATTTAAAACGCATTGCTGTTAAATATCAACATGGTTTAGTTTTTATACACAAACAACTTGCAGCATTGACACATGTATAGAAATGTACAGGCATTAATCTTCTTGTGGGCCATTTTAAACAACATTTGAAAAATAAATCACGTTCCTCTGCTTTCGTACTACTTTTTAGACGTTGACAGAGGTATAAGTGGAACAATAACTCTGGATAGAGATTGGTTAACCCCCTTCAATTCCATCCCACTCCCTAACCACAACTTTGATTGAGTGTTAATTACAATCTTCAGTTGGATTACTATATCACAATATGTTACATGTAAATTGTTGCTCACTTGATAAGCATGTCAATCCTTTGTCTGTTACAGGTGTTTCACAAAGATTAAGAACTTGTAGTTTCTGTAGATATTCCGATATTAACTGAAGTCCATTGTCTCCAAACTACAAAATCCAATATACATGTATTACAACTAATAGTTCCAATTTCAAAATAGACAAAAGCCAAATCTAACACGTTATTTTATTATCGAATTTGCTAGATGTGAGGATCCTTACTTGTGTGGACCAGAGGTTAAGGTAGCGAAGTGATGGCAGTTTGATTAGGTCGTTAGCACACGCGCTGGTGACGTGTGTGAAGGCTAGACTGAGACACTCCAGATTCCCGAAGGACCCTGAACTCAGCATCTTAGCTAGGTCCGAGTCCGTGGACTTGGAGGGCAGGGTCAGTTTCTTGGGTCCTCCCTTTTGTTGCTGCAAAAAAATATTCACTTTGTTCAAATCTGCCTTGATAGGTAAAGAAAGTCAATCTTCCCATCTGCACAGCATACAAATAATTGTATAAAAAGTTCTTACAAAGTGATTATTAATATTATCTAACTACATGTACTGTACAGGTGGAAAATCAGATGTGGAAATTTGATGTACATACGTGACTCAAAATCTTTTCTGTTTTCACAAGTCAACTTTTATATTCTCATTAAACAGCATTGTTAAAAATATGATTAATTCATCGTAGTTTTCAATCCCCATGTTTCAAAAATATGAAATTGTCAAACTTTGTACCCTTCAATATATACAATGTTAACAGTATCTCTGTTTATGGAGACATTTCCTCTACTTACTAGTTCTCTGAGAGCGATCTGTCTCTCACACAGTTGAGCGTACATGCGTTTGCCTTTACAGGTGCTCTGTAATGTTGTCACCATTTGTAGTTTTAGATCCTCATTTTCTACAACCTCCAGCTCTAACATGGCACAAAGCACCTGTTAACAACAGGAATTCTTCAATAGTTAATTGCAACAAAGAAAGAAGCAATATACCATGTATCAGATTATATTTTAACTGGGAACAAAACTAGAGTTGAAATACTGACACTCAACATTTTAGCAGATTTTCACTGTAAGACTCTCTGCATAATTTCAGTAACTGCATCATTTTTATTTTTGAATGTTGGTGCTTTAATTTTTTGCACCTTTTTTCCTCTATCCATCAAATGACCCACTTTTTTCACCCAATATACAATACATTGTATAATGCCCTGTCGTACATACTGGTACAAGTTAATTAAACTTCACACTACTTAAAAAGACCTTTAAAAGCTTCCTTCTTAAAATATTTTACATACTTATTATACTGAACAAAAACATGGATTTACATTAATGCCCATTAAAATTTTAATTTGACATATAAAAACAAATACTGGATAGAAAGCAATAAAGTTGAATCAATCACCAGTTATTATTCAATGCAGATGCTTTTTAAGAGTTATTTCTCTTAGCTCATGAAACAACTCGTTTTCTAGATTTTATACAGACCTCCATGGCTGCCTCATTCTCTCTCAGGGCCAGCAACATGACTGGACCAATCATTTTATTCAGTTCTGTCAGAAACTTCTTCCTCTTGCAGCAACATCTGATCAGAGTTTTCAACTAAAATGAGAAAATATTCGTTGACATACTGGTACATGTATTACTGTATTAAATATATCATGTACTATCATACAAAATATTCAACGACACAGGAACATGTAATGTAACATAAAACATACCTTCTTACAGACATATTTTATTTCTCCCAAAAAGTAATTCAAAGAGAGAGTAAAACAGAACTACGAAATTATGTACAGTACAAGCCGTTTATTATAACACCGGTTTTATATCATACTCCGTTTTTTATCATAGATATTTAAAACACAAAACCATTTCTTAATAATTCAATGTTAATTTCTAACGTTATTATCATAGGTAAAAGTGTGTACTTCGGTTACTATAATAGAAAATTTTCGTCCGTAATATTTTTTTCACACCTTTTTCACTCTCGAGACAATCAACAAAACAAAAGATAACAGCTGTCAACACCTGTGGTCCATGCACTGTCGCTTATCTATACACAATGGCTTGACTGAGGGGGATTTAGGGGTGTGCAATATTACCGGTATATCGGTATATTGCGGTATTTTCCACCACGATAATATATTGCGATATGAAAATCAGATACCGGTATTTCACGATATTTATAAAAATATATAAAAACTTTAATTATTGTAGAAACTGCTGAAATAATACTTGTAACTTCCTCGGGCTTTTTCAGACTCTTAAAAGAATACTTCGTCGGCTTTCTCTGAGAGAGAGAGAGAGAGAGAGAGAGAGAGAGAGAGCTTGTGATTCAATTAAAATAAATTTTAAATTAATAATTAATGGTAAGACTTTAAAATAAAATTAATATGAAAGAAAATATATAAAACATTTCTACAAGGTGTATACCATGTGGTCTGTGGTTCTCAAAATTTTGCATGGAATCTACACGATGGACATCGCGATGATACATATTACAACGTCAAGTAAATGGTCATCCATGTTTTCACTTGTAGCAGTGTTGCTATAATTTATTTTTTTTAATGACTTTCATGCCATTTTAAACACTGTCATGCTATACCAGGAGCATGTAAATTAAAACAGCTAGCAGATATAGGCCATTTCCTGATCGATGACATAATGTGTAATTAGGTCGGGTTAGACTAAAACACCAAAACGCACGAAAACAGGTCACAATATCTCTCTGGCTTTAATTTTATTCTGTAACATTAATAAAATTATATTCATCTTGTATGTAATGTTTTAATCTTAAATAACATTTTATGCTACTTCACTGAGACAGAACAAAAATAAAATTATACTAAAAAAGATATATTATGTATAATTTTTTTTTCAATTTGAAAATTCTCCAAGAGAGTTTTGTTTTATTATCTAATTAGGTATTGATTAAAAGTAAAGTGTTATTATGTGTGCAATTAATCTTATCACTCCTCCCCCCTTTAAAACTTACAGATAAATTCAAATAGTCTTGTAACTTGACAGCAATTCAAATATTCTGCTCAAATTTATTAATGATAATTAATCAATATTCAAAGTAAAATATTGCAATATATCGCAATATGGTTTTCACTCGCAATACCCAACTCTAGGGGGATTAGTCACACTCCAGCGCACTTACCTGAGCGATGACTCGAAGTTTGTTTATTTCACAAAGTACATTACACAACAACAGGAAACCATTCAATCTTATTTTCTTCTTTTGTTTACGTTGAATTGTACATTGATAATAAATGTGTTTTACCAAAATGTGTTGAATCTAAATTTAGTGTCAATTAACCCAAGCTTTCTTACGCTTGTTGCCTGATCAATGTTCATAATTAATCAAATTTATAAACTGTCCAATTAATTAAGAAGTGTTGTGAAATTAACTTTTTAACCAGCCTGTCCAAGCGGCTTTGATTTACATGCTCATCAGTGTATCAATTAATTTCAATTATACGGCACCATTAAGTGTAAATAAGCGCTTGGGTGCAAAGAAGAAAATAATTGGGCTTGTGTTTGAGATGATTTTTCCCTGACACTTAAGGTCAGACGAGACGTTCCTCAAAATCTGTTTTTTATATCTTCGTAATGTATGGAAAATATTCAAAATTTTAATAAAATTCTGATTTCTAAACCAGTTTCTAAAAGTTTTTAAAAAATCCAAACACTTAAACATTTGAAATTGGAAAATTATTTTTCATCCCCAAAGGATTATATAAGAAAAACTACCCCTGGTATCTTGCAGAAATGCCTGGTAAGATACCTCAATTTTTTGTGAGTAAACATGTTTAAGTAGCAATACTTCAATGACAAACTCCTAGAAAAAATTATCTATTATTGAGGAACGTCTCGTCTGTCCTTAATAGCTTGAATATTACTTCCAGGTTGAAAAAAAAAAAATGAGAAAGAATATAATTAATTAAACAAACAATTTTAATGCATGTGCTGTTATGTTGTAACATTATTTTGATACCGTAAATATTATGTAATTGGTAAGCAAGTTGTGTCATGCTGAAATGTTGAACTTACATCTTTGTATCTGAATGTTTTTTCGTTTGTACTTTTTTTTATATACTATTTATTTACTTTTTATAGACATTTTCTCTTTTAGTTGTGTTTTATTAAATATGCAATGGAAAAAAACCCAACGAATTATTGATAGATTGAATTGATCATAGAAATAAAAAACGAAAGTAGATCAAAATGAAAGTGAACAAGATGGATGCCAAGACATCTAGAAGATTGAGTTCGGAGATTATTAAGCTTTAGGAAAGTGAATTTATTTATACAAAATGTTGAAACAGTAAGTAAAAAATGTAAAATGATATGTTAGCTACCTTGTATTTCAAAATAAACCTAAAAATATGAAATTACATACTATAACACTTATATAAATATAGTGTAAAAACGGCAGGCATCTTATTTATTAAGTCATGTTCATGTCAGACCTCGGAGATGAATTTCAGCTGTCTATGGTTATTATCATAGTCGGTTATTATAAAGTTTTGGCCTGAAAAATAATCTATGATAATAAACGGCTTGTACTGTATCACATTTCTGTTTGCCTTCATTACAAGTAAATAAGAGATTGAAAACTCCATTCTCCATTTATTCGTATACAATACCATGATGCCCCAGAGTTCGCCCTCGTCATCACAGCCTATCGTCCCCGGTAGATACAGGTGGAACCAGCCTTCCTTCCCCTCACGGATCCCCAGGATTGTTTGATGGACGTCACACTTCTCATCTGAGGCTATGTTCTTCAGCACATTCTTCATTTTGCTTTAAGAGATGAAAAGTGATTTAGAATTTTATCTTAAACTCGAAAAGCACTCGCACATATGCATGTATCATTTTCACATCACAAAATTTAAAGTAATACTTACGATGTAAATAATTCATGTGCTAGGGCACTGTAAAAGAAATATTTTGAAATGTTTGTTAATAGTCATCAATAGTAAATGGTTATGCCTCACTGGGTAATCATTTTTAAGTTGACCAATTACATTCTTGTGTTTAACGTAACTTTCAAAGACTGGATAACTCATTTTTCTAAATAAATTCTCACAGACTACATGGTCTATAAATATCATAGGACACACTTAATATCATAAGAAAACAGCATTCAGCAAAACTCGGTTATAACGAAGTCACTGGGACCTATGAAATTACTTCGCTATATCCGTAATTCGTTATGACCATATAAGAAATTCATTAAATTTATATAGCTGGGGATTCCAAGATGACTTTGCTATATCCGTAAATTCGAAATATCCATGTTCGTACTAAACTAGTTTTACTGTATTTATTTTGAAACAAATTAGAAGCAAAGTGCTTACTCGCAAAATTTGTAACACAAAATATCATTGTTACAGCAAACTCTTAAGCTAGCTTACATACAAATAAGTTTGATAAGTTGATAAAGCTCTTACTCATTTGGAAATGGAATTGGTTGTAGAAGACTCCCTAGTACTAATCGCCAGTCTGAGAATGTGGACCTATATCAAAATAAGCAAGGGAATTTTATCACACTTGCTTAAATGCAAGGTTTTAATTCCATGATTCTCAATTTTTATGATAATTAATGAAAGGAAAATGTCAGCCTGTTAATTCGTAGTTGTAAAACAAAAAAAAATGTTTGTTTGCTTTGCATTATAATCTTACATGGTGTCCAACATTCCAATATAGCAACAGAGTTTATTTTCCCACTCCTGCACATCCAACACTACGTTGGTGTTATCCAGCATGGCACTGTAAAATAAAACATAAATTTAAGTAAACCACATCTATTTAGCAGTAAAAAAAGAAATCCAAGTTTTATTTATCTCCCTTGGCAACTGTCATGGAAACAAAAGCAGACATGAACTGTATGCATAAATGTTATAACTGTGATCAGATGTCAGATCAAGAATAAAAAGATTCCAATAATGACTGCTCAAAAATATGCATGGAATCTGAATACACAAGATACGTACTTGTTATGTTAAAGTTTAAAGTGTCAAATAGTCTGATATATTTGTTATACTTCAATTCTATGATACATTAGATTCCACTGTATCAGATTCTTGAACATTTTAGTAATTTCTTTCACAATTCTGATCAAGAATAATTCACTTCAGTATTAATTAACAATAGTCAAAGTATGCATAGATAATAAAATACAATCCTAGACAAGATTCTGGTGTCTCACTTACTTTTTCTTCTCCTCAAAACAGGAGTAGATGGCGGCCAGACACACGGCGACCAGGTTAGGGAGAACACGGGGGTGTGGACAGGCACTGGCCGGGCTGTGCATGCTGCAGAAACAAACACAAATATATCAAGCACTGTGTAAAATATAGGTCAAATGTACCTTCATGTACATTAACATGTACCTTTAAACATACAGTACTTTTCATTTCCTCAAAGTTGTTACAATCACTATCTTTTTTTTAGTGATTATTTATGAAATATACATGGAGTACTTCTGAAATAGGATTAGTTTTATCAGTTAAATTTTTACAAACCTTCTGACAAAATTTTGAACCACATCATAGCCGCCATTTTGACAATTTAAAGCCTGAATGTACTCCTGGACAAATCCACGCATTCTGGGGTATTTTCCAAAGTCCTAAAATACAAGCAAATGAAGATGTACTTCATCAAATGCACAGTGTTACTCACGATTACAAAAATTTGCCTTTAAAGAATATCATCAACATATTTTAGCAAATTTGTCTTACAGAAATTATTGATATCTGACAAAGAAACAAAGGACATTGCATCCCTGCACGTTTGGTCAATGCTCTCTTAAAACTCATGTGTAATCCTACTGCATATTTTTTTTTTTACATTTATGATGATGTAGATTATTATTAGAACTACATGTAAACATCCTAAGAGTCATTAATACCAGCAAGTTTAATCAAGCTGGGGGGGCTAGAAATAATTCATTGTTAAAAAAAACTAACATGGAAATGCATTGTCATCAATTCAGGTAATGCAAAAAAAAAAAAATGTTTCTCTACCTTCCACCGAAAACCATTCAATTAACTCACAAATTTTTCTTCACTTATGATATCATACTTAAATTTACCTGCAGTAAAAGATATACTTAAGCATACTTGCCAACCTCCAGCATGTAAAAATCTGGTCATGACCAGATTTGGAAAGTAAAAAATCTGGTCATAACGCGAAACGACATTCATGACATATTTACCATGATTAAATTTTATACATATATATACAAAGTATTTGTGTAATGAGAATTCTTTTATTGAAAAAGGATTTAATTTACTGTGACAAAAAATTCATACATAATTTGATTTAAATTCATGTTAAAAATGAAAATTGAAGGTTTCATATTACAGTATTGTCCTGAAGTAAGTGTGCATTTTTCAAAAAGTCTTTTCAGTTTCTGCTAAATTTTAAAGTATACCAATTTCGAAATTCAGTTTTGAAGTTATTTTTCCTCTCTCTTAATTAATTAACTACTGCAATATGTTTTAAATGTGAAGTTAGGCCAACACTGTTTTCGATCACTTTATTTTATCTAGAATGAAAGTTTTTTTTTCCAAGATTCCTTGATATGTACATACATGTAAATATCGTTTCTCTTTTTCTTGGTTCAATCAGAGACATGTGTTTGGTTCAATTAGTTCCTGTTGGCCCTGATAACGATCTAGTTCTATCGGAAGCCATTTTAATTGACTTCAAACATGGATTTGTCAAAACAACACCCAGTTAATTGTTTACACCTGCACTGATAATTAATCCCTCGGCATTGTTTACGTAACGTTAGATGACTAGATGGGCCAGATCTAAGCTTGGGTTGTAACTGGAAGTTAAAAGTGCAACCTAATTGACGAACCAAATCCGGAAAATCGGGAGATTTCCGGGATATTCGGCAAAAATCGGGTGATAAGCATGACCCGCCGGGTCATAAAAAATAATCGGGTTACAGGTTGAAAAATCAGGTGTGACCCGACGAAATCGGGTGGGTTGGCAACTATGCTTAAGGAATGTTTTTAAGTTCAGTGTGAGTTACTGGTGTGTAAATCACACAGACTTGTCATGTAGGCATGAAGCGTGCTTCGCTTCGAAACTGGAAACAACTGTTACATATTATGTTTCAACTCTTCTAGCTGACAGTTGTTTATGATTTAGGGAAGGTTTTTCCAGTAAATGGTTATCCCTTGTAAAATTCTGATTGCCTTTTGTGTCCAGACAAACTTGATACTTCTTTACATGAGGATTTATTCATATCAGTACAACTTTTCATTCCTTTGCTGTTCTTAACAAGATATATAAACTAACAGATATTTTTCCTACATATTCCTATGTAAAACTTATTTTCTCTTTGTGGAACAAACATCATAGCCCTTGTGGACATGATTTGAACTAACTTGAATCTGTTAATTCCAAATCAATATGACTTATCATGCCTTCGGCTCAGGTGATTCCAGCAAATATGGAGTCATGGCCATGATGAGGCAAATAATTCTTTTGGAAAACAAAACCTACATAACAATTTCACAGATATTTTTTTTTCTCTCACCAATATGTGTATAACAGAATGCTTCCTATACTTACAGTGTTGTGTTTGAGAATCCTCTGCACCACAGGAGTGAACAATTCTATTACAATGCTGGAACGAGGACTGTTTTTACAATGCTGAAAATAAAAGTATCATAATTTTGGAATCCAATGCCAAATGTACAAACACAACAGGCTATTTTTGAAATAGGTTCATTTATTTAGATTTTTTCTGTGTGGTATAATGCATTATATGCTTGATTTAAGAAATAACATTTTAATGGTTTATGACAATAAAATATGACCGAGACAATCCAACCAACCTTGCTGAAAAATTCACAGATCTCTTGGGTCGGATGGTTGTTTTCCAGAAGAGGGGCTAGAGCAACAATGATGTTTTCATGTGCCACTCGCGTAATAAAATCAGCATTCTGCCAATCAAATTTGAAGCATAAAAATCAAATATCAGCATCATAAAATCAGGATTAAAATACTGTATACAGGGAAATTTCCGCCCCTGTTTTATTTTCGCCCCTTTCACCCTCTCCTTGATTGGGTGAATTTAAAACAGGGTGAATTCAAATTACACATCATAATTTCTTAAACAGAACTATGACTGGGTGAATTTAAAACGAGGCAAAATTGTTCAAAAGGCGAAAATAACACGGGGCGAAAATAACCCTGTATACAGTATATCACAGCTTACATAGTTCTCCTTCTCTTCATTAACAAGTTTATCAAAAACAATTTTGCAATATAAGTCAACATGTCCTTATCCAGAATTTGTGATTTCAAAAGGTTGTGTGGAGAAATATGATTTCATGCTTAATTTTAATTAATGAAAGCATCATGACTTCATTTAATTGAAGTATTGACATGTTAAGATTATTTTCCTAGATAGACGAGTAGGATGGAGGTTAAAAACTCGGTGGATTTTCCAGGATTTAGTATACCAGCACTGACAAGAAAGATTAACTTCATGTAGATCTGCAGTCATCTTTTTGCCAAGCAAATACACAAAATTTGTTTGGAAGCTTGTCAAACACTTCAACATTTTTTTAAGTTTCACTTGTTTAGATAAGCACAGCAACTCCAAAGTTACGCATTCTTTTAAATAAATAATAGCCTGAATAGAAACACTTCATGTATAAGCAGTATTAAAACCTAGAGCGTAACATTCTCCTCTGAACAATTTGTTATTTAGGAAGGAAAATATTAAACCGGGATATATTCAGTACTACGAAATGGAAAACTAGGATCATTGTGTTGATAAACTGAGTACAAACAATTCTGTGCTTTATCACTTTAGTTAACAATCTACTTCATGATTAATATAGATTAGGATTTTTATCATGATCTGTTGCCAGCATCTAGAATCATTTTTTTTTATGTCAAATTACTCCTAAACCTCTATGAACTCTCAGCTAACACCTCAATGTGTTAAACCTACAGCTGTCCAATATATGACACAAATCGGCAATAATCTGAACTTAGAACTGATATCAATCAACAGTTGTCCTGTGCTCCAGACAATCTAATTGTTTTATTTGTATTGGTGGTCATTACCCTTTTATCCACAATTCAATCCTGATAATAAAGGCCCCGTCTTTAATAGAAAATCAGAGCTGGACTAATAACTGCACATACTAAAAACAAGCCATTTGTAATTTCCAATACGGGAGCTCTGTAATTTTACAAAAAATTGACATTGTCAATGCATTTAGACCTGACTTGACCAAATGTAGATATAGTTTATTTTAACTCATTATGATATGAAAAATCCCATTCATTATGATATGGAAAATCCCATAATCATAGGCAATATTTGCCCCAAGTACAAACATTTTAAACTTTGAATTTAAAAAAGCAACCTCTTCACTTCACCTTTCTGTAGGAATGACCTCTTCCACATGCATGGCCTTGACTGAAGTTCATTACAAAATCTACTGTACTGCAGAGCAACAACTGAACAAAATATGTCAGACCTAAACTTCTGTGTTCAGAAGTACCCTCCAGCCCCCTCCATTTTTACTTGTTATGGAATTCATGTAAAGGAAATAAGAAATTAGAAAGCTCACTTTGGCCCTATAGGCTTTGGTAATCTAAAAATCGTGGATCTCATCTCAAGAAGCACACAAGTCTATATATACTGCATATAAGCTACCTTTGGCTATGGCTTGATGATGACCCATATCTAAATATCAGATTCAGTTTTGAAAACATGATCTAACACTTCACAACACGACTCGACTCTATCTTTGCTGATTTGTATTCACCACAGACAATACATTATATCAGATTTTATTATTTCCATTTTGTTAATGATACAAAAATTCAATCAAACCCTTTGGGTAAATGATGACTTGTGGTATCGAATTAATTAATTTTCAATCAATTCATGCACTCAGTATTGCTGTATACGAAAAATCCATACCAATGCAAGTCATTGCATAAACCCAGGAATTCTGATGAGTTTGAAAAATGAAAGCAACTAAACCTTTTTGTTTTTCTAATGACTGACAATTATTGATCAATGTTATGAAAAGATGCGATTTAATGATGGGGAAAACTCATTACTGTAATTATCTAATGACTCGATTTAATTGGAGCCGAAATCTAATCATATGCACTGATCTTGAAATAAGAACTGGATTATCTGAAACTACAGTAGCCAGCCATAAACCTCGTCTGAATATCTTGTCATGGGAGGAGAAAGGGGATATTCTACATGCAGTACGACACCTGGGTAATTTTTTACGTGCTGTAGAAGATATACTTTACCTGCTGTAGAAGATCAGACACAAGGTCCAGAGGAAACTGATACACACTGGCATCCTGGATGTTAGTGGTCAAAGAAACGTCTATCATGTTCTGAAAAAGATCAATGAACACAGTTCAAATAGAGTAGCAGGGAACATGATCAACTAACGTGGACACTGAACATGGCCTATAGATACGAAAATTCTTTCTTACATTTGACCTTTGTCCACTGATTTTTAACACAAGTGCATGTGATTGGGCAAATTTAAAGATAGGGTGAAATCAATTGTTAGAAGGGCAAAAATGATCCTCTGTTCATTGTATAATATGTTTTAAAGATGGTCAAAAAGGTCTTGGTTTACCTTGATCTCCTTGACAAGAACTTCAGGTCGCCTTGCATTCTTTAGTAATTTTTCACATTTGTACATATGTTTCTGAAAGAAAAAAAAATTGATGTCCATGTATTATTAATATTTCATACGTCTAGTCAGGATGCATAGATTTAATAGGTTACTTAGATTTTGTACTTAAATCCACTGTGAACTTAATTCAAAGCTCTGTTACGATGAGTGGAATTAAGAAAAGTGCAATATCTCTTTAATCTCTGCCTTTATTTATAGATGTACATCAAATTAGCAAGTTTGAATTTTTTCATAATTCATCTCATTAGTACAAGTCTGTTACTTTAAAGCCTATTTAAAAGTTTACGCTGCCATTAACCAGGAAGCCTTCTGACATTCATTATTAATGCTAACCTCCCCCTCCTTTCTCTCTCTCTCTCTCTCTCTCTCTCTCTCTCTCGGGTTTTATGTTTTGTACTGACATATCACCAAATTCACATCACAACTTCTGTATCTTATTATATCCACTAGGGGGTGTCCTATCCTGCCCTTTTGACAGAGGGGAGAATTTAGCTGTCAATCATTATTGTAATGAGAGGATAAAGAAGGGGGGTGTTAATACTAGATACAGAATGTAGAAGGCAACTGGGTGAATAATAAATGTGCCCAATGTATTATTGCTTTCAGGACAAAGTTTTAATGAACACAAAAATCAATAACTGAACTGAGAAATGACAAAGTACCTAGGGTTTCAGAATAGCCTTATGATGTGTACAATTAATATTTTTTTTTGTTTTTAATCCCTTTGCAAACCAGTATGGTGTACTGACAAGAAGTGCATGCTCCATAGTTTTATAATTTACTAATGTAACTTAAGAGGTATGAATATAGATATAAAATGTTGAGATGTAAAAGCATGTGTGAGACAGAAATTGATATAAACCTTGCTTGCTGTGTATAGAGCTTCATGGTGATAAGCCAGACAAATGTCTCGTAAATAAAATAAAAATCATATCTAAAAGGACTTTCCTACCGTGCTGTCTAAAATGCATAGGACTGCGGCTTAAGAGGAGTGCGACTGTATGCAGATTGATTACAAATGTAAGCCACCGTGATAGATTTTTGTGCAAAATGGAGCATTTTCCTTCAAGATGTATTACAAATCAATTGTTGAATGCCAGTTTTCACAAGATAAATTGATTCAGTGCAGTTTTATCTTACCAAATAGATGCATTAGAGTAACAATTAATGGCAGGAAACTAGAAAGACTAATGGCCTATTAATTAAGTAGTATTTTTCAAAAATAAACTGGATCTGTCCTCATGGAACTAAAACTCTGTAGGGTAAATAAAGAAAAGGTATATTTTCAAACACACAAACCCCACCCCAAGAGCATTAATTGTTATCTAGATGGAAGTATACCGTATAAGTGGAAATTTTAGTGAGACGCAAATTTAACGATTTATCCTTAAAAATTGGTATTTTATTTTTAGCGAGATGTAATTTTAGCGATTTTAAAAAGCTCACTAAAGAAGCTATTACAAATAAAGCGCAAGTAATTTTTAGCAATATTCAATTTTAGCGATCTTGGCACCCTGGCTAATAATGCCAAAATTAAATCCTCACTAAAAATTCTGCTTTCAGCACTGAGCTCACAAAATAATCACATTATGATGTCATTTTTCTCAAGTCATGCAAGTCTGTTGAAAAATGGCAAAAAATTTAAGCTGTTTTCCAATATTATCCATAGAGACCAAATTGTGATCCAATATGTTGAATAATGTAATAAAGAATTGTTTTTCAAGATTATAACCATTGATTTACTTTTGAATTGTGGGGTTAACTATTTTAATACTCTTTGCCAAAAGTAGTCAAATAAACCCATTTTCTATAAAATTCAAGAACATATTGCAATTTTACAAAACCTGCTTTTCAAAACCTGACTCTTAGAGGAAACTTTTTCATAGGAAATGAAAGCACTAAATCTCTACTTTGTATTGGTAAATGCATTTGAAATGAATAAAGTGAACCTAGCTCTTTTTAGGTCAGAAGCACCATTTCAGGAATATATGCATTAGACTATTCATTCTAAAAATGGATTAAATGTTTGATTTGTTTACATGTATATTGAACTTTTCGTACTCTGGTTTCAATCATTCTCCATTAAATAAAACACTTATGCCCCCCTCACCCACAAATTGGAATTTTTCCACAAATTGGAATTTTTCTAAGTCCAGAAGGGCATAACTCTGTCAAAAATGGTGTGATCATACCCAAAACATACCTTGACCAAGATATTCATCTGACTAATCTGTATACTAAATTCCATTTCAATATATGCAACCTCTCCAAAGAAAATGAACGGAAACTGCAAAAATATGGAATTTTTCTAAGTCCAAGGGGCATAACTCTGTCAATTATGGTGCGATCATACCCAAAACAAAACTTGACCTAGATATACATCTGACTAATCTTTATACTAAATTCCATATCAATATGTGCAACCTCTCCAAAGAAAATGAGCGGAAACTGCAAATAATTGGAATTTTTCTAAGTCCAAGGGGCATAACTCTGTCAATTATAGTGCGATCGTACCCAAAACAGAACTAGACCTAGATATTCATGTGTTATACCTGTATACCAAATTTCATTTCAGTATGTGCAACGGTTATGAAGAAAATGAACGGAAACTAAATGGACCGACAGACCGACCGACAGACAGAAGCAAAGCAATATGCCCTCCCTTCTTCGAAGGGGGGCATAAAAAATATCTGCTGTGGAATCATTACTGTTCGTGTAGGACCACTGTTTGTGGATTTCATTTAACCACGAATTGACATCCCCTGAACGCTTATTTGGTAAACATACTGATTCTTTGAATCTGTCGTAAAAAAAGGTAACCCACAAAATTATGTCCCTCAAACAAGTACGTTAGAACTTAGGTATCTCAAACACTGATATCTCGATCGAATACTATGGATGTGTCGAAGTGATGTGGAAGTCCCAACCACTTATTTTTTTTAGCATTTTACCCTCGACATCTGGAATCTTCGGATATCTCAAAGTTTTCTCTTTGGTCCCATTCAGTTCAAGACAACAAGGGTTGACTGTAATATTTTGCCTGCCCATGAACATTGGCCCCAAATACATTAAAATGATTCCACAGTACCTCGTAATACATGCAATTTCAGTTATATACCACGGTACTTTTAATCCACAAATTGACGCAAATTCTAATCCTATACACCCTGCATAAATGCAGCCGATGTTTACACCTTTGTTTGGAAAATGAGGTGACAGATGACATGTCATTAGCTAATTGGTTAAGGGCGTTATTGCATTGGGACCACATATACTCTAATAAAGCTCTGCTGCAAATTGTCTGTTCAATTATTGCCCTCAAGATAATACAAGTAATTTTGCCAGAAAATTTCATTTGAGTGTATAAAAACTAGCTCCCTGGATTTGAACTGTAAGTCATGATTATGTCAACAAAGATATGGGCTAAAATAAGCAAAATTTTTTTAATCTTATGTTGCAACACTAGTATGCATGCAGGGAAAGACAAAGATCGACTCTCTACTTTGAAAAAAAAAGTGGTACTGTGAGAATTAAGCAAGCTACGGGAAGGAAGTACATCCTTTTTCAGCATATACAGACCGACGTATCTTAGAACCAGGAAGAATTGAATTAAATTACATCGAGGATAAAAAAAAAATGAACCAACACAAAAAAAAACTGAGAAATTAAAATGATTTACTAATTGTTCTACTCAAGTTTGCAAGAAATTTGTCCTAATATTGTAACAAAATGACATGACATCAACTCATCATTCGCTGATTTACATTTGACATCCAGGACATGTGGATAACACATTTTTTCCTCACCCTGCACCTCAATAAATGTTTTTACACAATCATTATATAAATTTATAATATACATTTCCAGCAGCCTCATTCAGCTAATTACCCTGCTTTTTGTGACACTTGGTCAAAACATTAAGCAGAAATATTTCAGGTCCTGTCAAAACAGTCCAGTACATACAGGGGTTACTATACAGCTGTGAGCTACGTACCTTCCAGAGAATTGAATGAAGCCACTGGTCTCGTATGTATGAATTGTGAGCCTGAAAAAAAAAATACACATACGTAAAAAAATCAGGTCTAAAAGAAAAAAACATATGCATAAAAATCAGGTCTAAAAGAAACATGCAATGGTCAAAATGTGGCTGATCTTTCATAAAACTTTCTGTATAAGTTAAAAATTTTTTAGCAATTTTTTTGTATACATTTTGATATGGTCTCGGATGACAGTATGTTTGTGTCACAGAACGTTTGTCAGTATTTCACTATGGAGCAATATAGGCACCATCCAGAATCACACAAATGAGATCTATATACTTATAAATTGAAAGCAAGATCATATTGACAGATATGTGTTTTGACTGCAAGGACTATATTTTAGGCCTTATATCTGTCAACTCAAACATCTTTAAACTATTAAACTAATAAACTATATTGGTTTCAAATACATTTTTAAAAAAATATGATATAACAACTGGTTTTTTTTTACCATTGGCATAAATTATATTGATTTTCTGTTTCAGAGAATGACGTTAGGATGGTGTATTTTACTATGACATATTTTATGTTGTCAATACCTCCTAATAAAGTCACTGAATCCCTTACAATGGGTAAAAATTTTCAGTTGTCATGGAGAAAATAGGTTTATATTTCATTTTTTTTTTCATATTAAAAAAAAATCTTTTCTATAAATAATTGATTTTTAGAACATTGACTTTTGTTCAACAATGCATACAAGAATATTTATCCTTAAAAAAAGTAACAGCTAGCATTCTGCAAGCCCCAAGAGAATGGAAAAATAATTTTAACAATTTAGGATTCAACTTACTGCTTGTCAGCTGTCATAATTAATTGATAAATGGCATGTTTGGGCAAGTGTATTTCACAGAGACAGGAAGTTATGACATTATAGTTACCTACATACATATATATGTATGATTTCACATAACATTACCTGCCTACATGTATGCATTGACAATTCATATTTAGTAATTTGTAAATCATACATTTAACTCATACTGTATTAGTACATCTATACTTTGCATAAATCTGAAATAAAGTTTTGAAAATGACATACAAGTTTCGAGACAAAATTCAATCAAAATTGAAAGTTCTTAATGGCAGACTGATTCTGACCCAGCATTGATAGAATTTTCTGGCCACAGACACTTTTTTACTTGAAGATGGCAATAAAAAAAGAAATTTAAGGATTTATGTGTATTGTAGAGTTCTTGAAACCTTTTTTCTGCTTTCGGCCATTTAGACCAACAACCATCTGGGGCCCGTTTTACAAAAGAACTTACGACTATGACCAAAAGCTTCAGATTATTGTAAAATTTTGCAAAATTAATAGATCTTTTTGAAATTGTTTGTGTAAAAATATCTTACCACATTCCTTTGAAAAAGTTAAAAATAATTTTTGATATAATGTTAATTAAAAAGTTATATGAAGAATTAAATTTGGTCTTAAGTCGTAAGTCCTTTTGTAAAATGGGCCCCTAAACTTTGTCAGTCAACACATATTTCCATCAGTCAAAAAAAATTCCATGACAATTTAAGATAAAAACTGTATTTGAATTTAATGATCATGCCAATTTGATCATCATGTAACAACCAATCTCTCCCCCAGCCCTTCCAATTTTCTTTGAATTCATGTGGGGAGCAATATTCTTCCAAAATTTTTACTTTATTCAATTTAATCATTGGATCTTCCTGCTTAGCCCAATCAAAAACTTTATCGGCCATACAACAGTTTATTGATCAGTTTGACATCTGCGCTCAAAGCCGCTCATTGAAGAAACCATCATGAGGTACAGAAAAGCATTCAACAGATTACGATTTGTGGGTCAAAGGGAATTTGTACGAAATTTAGTCTGATTTTTACAAGTTGCTCTGTCAACATCTACCGGTCATTTGGACTGACACAGAACCTACAGTAATCAGTCCTTAGTTGTTTTTATTTGTCTTGCCGACAGGACCAAAAAATTTCAAGAACATATTGGTATTGTAGCAAATAAAATTTTGGACTAGCATCGAAAAACAATACTTTATATTTACATTTGCTATAATTTTCTTCTAAGCCAAAGTAAGTTTGTGAAATTGATTTGTCAATACCATTTTTGTGTCAACGCACGCGTAGAAATACACATGGAGAAACTTGTGCCTACATGACGTCAGAATGAGCTAAAGCGACGTTAGTAAAAATGCAATGATATAGGACAGTGATAAATTCAAATACTGAGCATATTTTGGGGGCTAACAAATACGTGAAATCTAAATATAAGGAATGTTTTAAAGTTAAGTGAGAATTATTAGTGTGTAAATCACACAGACTTGAAAGCTAGCACGCTTCAAGAAATAGGCCTACTTGACAAGTCTGTGAGATTTACACACTAATAATTCACACTTAACTTTAAAACATTCACAAAAAACTTAAAAACATTCCTCAAATATACGTCACTTGGTAGAGGCTGTTCTTCAGGTCTCTCTATACACTTAAGCAAAATGTTTTAAAGCATTAGAAAATGATATTATGCAAAGGTAAATATTGGGTATATCTATCTTATTTTCAACATAGGGTAGTAATCTTACAGTTTGAAACTTCCCTTTGAGAAATAAGCTTGCTTATGGGGAATGGAATGTTGCTGACTCCCTCATTGATTTAATTAAACTATATTGTCCAGAACACTATTTATTTAGGACAACACCTCCAAAGAGGCTTCTAAAATGGAATCCCAACCATATGTTTCCTACCCAATACTTTAGAATAAATATGTTCATTTTACAGGCGAGCTTTCCAGACCAAGGAAATTCAGGGATTTATCAGTCTATTTTGGGAAACACCATTTTTGGAGAATTAATTATCAACTTTTTGATGAAATTAGGAAATTTGAAATTAAAAGTTGCTGAAATCATGTATTCAGGAGTAATTCATTTAAGAACCCTCTCTACATTGCACACTAAAGAGTTCTGATTCTGGGGTATTTTTTGCAGTTAGAGTAATTCTGTCCTTAGATCTAAATTCAAAAAAAAAAAATAGAAATTGACAGCATATTACACAATTGGTAATCAATTCAAGTATTCTTAACATTTTAAAAGGCCAAGATAAATTAATTGAATATGTTATTTATATGTACTTTCTCCCTGGAAGTAAACAACAGTGATTTCTATTCACTGATACTGTGTAATGTGTTTGATTATTTTTCTTGGGAGTAAATGCCATACCATGTACCTTATATTAAAAATTAATGAAAGAAGCTTAATATTAACACCTTTAGAGAATATATTTTTCTCAATATCCAAAAAAACATTTGCACAGGTGCAGAGAAGGTCCTTAAACACTATGAAGTACACATTTTCTCAAGGTCCCCTTTTAATCTGCATTGAAAATATATTTTTCTATCTGAAATAATGCATACAGTCCTATCATACACTGGTAGATCAATAGGTGGAAATAGCTTAATAAATTTCATATAATTACCAAATATCACCGTTTACAGAAAAGCGCAGGAAATTCGGATTAAAAATTGGCAATGTTTTTGCAATACGTGTTTTTAAACATGCGTTATGACTGTAGCTTTGTTAAATGAGTTAAAATAGATGAAAATTACAGACAATCTGACAATTTTACTTGGTGTTTTTCCAAGATAATTAGTATAAAAGCATTGTTCACCAATTCGGGAAAAAAACTGCCAAATTGGGAAAAACTAAACTCAGTGATTTTCAATTGGGAATGGGTCCAAATTTCGGCCCCTGAGAAGGTACATCATAAATTCCTGTACACGTTTGCATAATGCATGAGATTGATATTGTCTCTGACTTTCTTATTAAACCTTCATATAACGAAGTTTATATTAACACTGACATTACAAATAACAAACCTGTACCTGCATGACCACTCCATGTCATACCCACCTGAATGAGAAGAGAGCCATCTGGTACAGTGATTCTTATACAGAACTTCTGGCCAGCATCCCACCGCGAGATGATGTGCACATCTTCGATGCTGGAGTAAGGAATAGGGTTATCCATCATGCCACAGGCCTACAAACATGACAATAAATAACCAAGTTATTTCAATGAAAATAATGCATAAATAGAGCTATTCTGAAATGATTAGGGCTTTGCAGTTTTCAATGCGTCATTCCCCCAAAATGATTATTAGCAGCATGCATGCTTAGTTCAAACAAATCTAATGATTAAATGCACCTTTGCTTTTAATTTCATTTATTCATTTCTGAATATATATCATGTACTTATGAAAATGGTATTTACTAAATGCAATTCTTAGGAAATAAACCATCTTTAATTTTGTTTCTACATTCATTATATACTGGCAGCAAATATTAAGTAAAACTTTTTCATGATCATAAAACATATTACTAACTTAAAATATCTTCTAATAATGAGGTTATGGAATGCAAAAATGCAAAATGTACTGCAAAAAAATGCAGTAGATTTAAATATTGAATTATTAATACTGGTAACCTTGATCAAAATTGAATATGTAAATTAGTAAATCAATTTAAAACTAAATGCAAAATATTTGATTGCAGCTATTTCCATGGACCTCTAGCACCATGAAATGTGATATAGATCAGAATTATATCAACTTATAAAATCAAACACTGACTTCAGGTTTTGTATTACATCAGAGCACTAAAATCTGGGGAGCAACTTTTTTCTGGCAAGTCCAGAATCAATTCAGTAAATGAGTATTATGCCCAACTCTCCATTTAAAAAAAAAATATTCTAGAAGAAATTGAATTATAATATTCTTTATATAAAGGCAATAGCCTTTCCATTATAGATAAGCCATGGTCACTCAGTAACTAATTAAATTATTCACTAATTGGGTAACTTTTGGATACAAAGAACCCCTATTTATCAACATATACATATATGCTTTATCTTTCTATTTTCATCAGAATTGTGTACATCCTAACCTAAAGAAACAAGTTGAGGAAAGTTTAAAAAGTACACAAAAATTATTGAACTCTATAATGAAACATGCCTTGCTAAATACTTCGTGATGTAAGAATGAAGAAAAAAGATCTAACATGAAGATAAGTTCAATGTAACATAGCTTGTAGACTACAAGATAAATTGAAGCTGTATTTCCAAGAAAGCTGATTACTTCACATTTTGTTTATATAAATAAAATGTTGGAATGTTCCTTGGACATTTTGTTTTTTCTAAATTGTCGAATCTAAATCCAGAAAAAGACCTAGGAAACAGGTCTGATGAATTCTGAATATGTAATTTGGAATATTCCTGATACACACCAACTTTCACACAAAATTTGTAGAGTTCTCACATTTAAAAATAGTGTTTCTGGGCTCAAAGCCAGTGAAATATTGACATTCAGTCTAAATTTATGGATTTATATGTATTCAATATTGGATAAAAATCAAAAATCCCCCAAAATACATGTTCATCATGAAAACTTTAACTTTAAATGAAGAAGGTTTTAGTCAGATATCATAACTAATCAAAATTACATCATGGAGAATATATTCATTTTGTTGACGCACCCTCGTCTAGGGGTGTGTGGTGGCATCCTTTGAATAAAATTGATTTTTTTATCAAGTCAGGAACTGAGAAAGTTAGTTTTCATTTTTAGGTAAGTCTTATTGAGGGACCCTCTAGTTCTGAAAATCAGCAAATTATGCCAGTAATTTATGAATTTACAGAGTATTAATGAATACATTTATTCAAGTCTTCAATATTTTTTCAAATCGGAATGAAAGCATTGTCATGCAATCTAATTGAAATTTGGTCAAGTATATTTAATTAAGATAAAAAAAAATAAATTACAAAACAGACTACACTATTTTCATACATATGAATCAATAATCAATTGTATATTGCTTTTTGGACTAATTCTCTCAAATTTGGTTGTTGTACTAATATTTTATGTAAATATTTTGTACTTTTATGTCACCTTTCTGTAAAAACATTTCTATGACCCTTCTAATGGGTATCTGTTTGAATAAACTTGAATGATTGAATCCCCTTCACTCAGAGTTACCCTGTAACAATAATTAACTATTTTAAGTCTAGTAAAATTGACTTATTTGAATCTAGAGAAGAAGACAAAAATGTGAATAGTTTACATTTGACAATTAAAAGACAAAGGACACAATTCAACCAGATAAGTTGATTTTAGTTTTCGATTTCAAGTGAGCTAAAATGTTAATATATCAATATAAATTCAATATCAATATTGTCACTCTGTGACTCAGTGTTTTCATTTAATTGTTTCATCGATGACAGCTGAAAAAATAGTTTGAATTTTTTTTTTGTATTCCGAGTAAGAACAGTTTCATAGGGGATGGAAATGTTCACTACACTGTGTTTCATCTTTCTACATCTCCACAAACACTCTACTGACCTCAAGCATTACCTCTTTATCGAACATTGACATGTGAGCAATTTGTTTTATGTTTGCAATGCAATGAATTATCAATCAAGAGTGCTGAAATAAATCACAATAAATTTTGACAGTTCTTGGTTGTAATAACAGTTGAGACACAGTCATTATTACATACAATGATAAACTGACATAACACAATATCAATATCTTAAAATATAAAAAAAATAATGGATTTTGCTTTGTTTACATTTACTTACAGTGCATGAGCGGATCTCATTTCTGTCCAAAACAATACGATGACTCTCCCATCGCCGAAGATATTTTGAGTTCATTATTTTACTGACAATAGTTCTGGTGTGATTAAGACGACAAATCTGTATATCCCCTTCATGTATCAGTTTAAAACGGGGTCCCTGGAACGGCCGGGCAGAGGTGGAGGAAAGTTTAAGACTATTTAAGCTTGTTCCACTATCATTCCGTATGAACGGCGCTGGTAAAGGGGGTGTCTCCACAGTCAACTCATCCCCAGAATCCTGCAAATAACCATTAATCTGTTCGTTAGTTATAAATGGATCCGTGGAGCTACTATCTTCACAAACGTCCTCGATCGTCGCCATGTTGCAGTAACGATCGCTCGTCTCTTCACTTTGACGTTTAACGCCAACCTCAGAAAACACTACACCTGTTCTACAATAATTATAAATACACGCCAGTTTGATTCTTTATGCACTTAATCAAACAACAAAGAATTTGGAAACCTATTAATTCCTATTCTTTTGTAAATGGTATTGATGAAAGATAATATCGAGGATTCCATTAAAAATGGCAAACATAGTCACGTGACTTTTTCCAAGGAGCTTCTTCCGGAAGAGTCAGTGACGCGTTGCGACGTCATCATATTCTCCATCAATACACAATATACAGATAAGGACTAGAAAAAATATTATACATGTAATTATAAGATTAAAGTGTATTATACTACAAAGAGAGTTAAAACTTCGATTAATTGTTATGACGGAATCCGCATCTAGAAGCCATTTATACTTTTACATGTTTTAGCTTTTTTTTTTTAATTTCAGTAGGCTTAACGTTACACATTTTTATTTGAAATTTCAAACAATACGAAAGTTTCGAGATAATCTCCCTTGGTGCGCTCTTTCGTTGAGGAGGGGAGTTTTGTTGCCACGTAAACAAACAGGTGGGACAAATATATGATTTTATATATTGGATACATTGAATCATCGATAATATACTGGTTTATCATAACTACATGATTGTCAGGATGCACTCTACATTTCGAGAATAACCAAATTAATTTAAAGACGCCATTTTTTAAAGCAAAAAAATCGTAACAAAAAAGAAAATGGTGGTGGATGTGAGACTTTTCAGACGAGGGAAGAAATTTGGACCTCTAATAAAAACGGTATACATGCAATGATCATTGCACGTAGGCGATCTAAATGACACATTGATTCTTTTCCTTATTATAAGTTCAAAAAACCCACAAACTTTTGTACAATAAAGAAAATTGGTTACTTTTTATTAAGACTACGACGTTTCTTTCGTTTTCAAGTACCTATAATTTAAAAGTAGATTTGTAAATATGCATAGTTGAACTTGATAAAATCATCAAATGCATCACTGCTTAATATCATTATCTTTTAATAACATTTAATAAATTATAAAAGCCATAAATATCGTTCATTTATATATGTACGTTTGTATACAGAAACAACCTGTCCCACCTCCCTGCCGAAATGGATACTTTTTGTGCCTCCATCGTAGGAGAGTTACAATCTCGAAACTGGCGTATTGTTATAAGTTAACAGATGAAAAGTTAAGAACTCAATAAAATGAAAATCGAAATGAATGACATTGTTCACATAAGAATTAATTAAATTATCTGTAGAAGGAAATGAGAAAAAATTATTGTAACAAAACCGGCTACTCAGGTGCTCTATTTACTGAGTAAGCCAGGCCGATATCCAAAAAACAAATCATTACACGATGATAATGATGGAATGTTTCAAAGATAATTAAGCAAAAGTTAAAATGTTCATAGATAATAATTATACAAAATTTTAAGGCATATAATTTCATAAATTTATCTGCAAGTCCGACTAATTTTATGATGGGAGTTCGTGTCGTTCTGTATGCATTGAAAATACATTCACGGGCGCTTGGCGTTTTTAACCTTCTTTTCATAAATAAAATGATATTCCCTACACTATTATAATTATAGTACAGGGGATATTTTTATTTATGGAAAGAAAGGTTAAAAACGTCTTAAGCACCTGAGATTATAAATATGACATGCATTTTTATAAAAATGAGTAAACAGAAAATGTTAACATCTGATAAAGAACGATACTTACATAAATTTACTCTCTTAAATTAAATATTTGGTCATCTGTTAAAACATATATCGCCAACCCCCTAACTACGCCAATACCCTAATACTCCTTCACTTTCGGGAAACTTCACGCTGTTTGTACAGGAATGCGATTATGACGTCATTTTTTTATGCCCCCGTAATTGAAGATTCGGGGGTACATAGTTTTGTCGTGTCTGTCCGTTTGTCTGTCCAGCTGTCTGTTTGCAGGCACGTAGCAACAGGGGGGGGGGGGGGCAGGGGGGCCCCCCCCCACTTTTCCTTTGCCAACAATACTTTTACTATTGAAAATGTTCGCCGAAAGACTGGTCCCCCCCCCCCCCACTTTATACTAAAGTAAAGTAATATGAAGGAAAAATATAGTATTGTAAGCTTATAAAATGGATTTTGAAAGGAATTGGAAGAACTGAAGTTAAAAAATTTGGCCTCTACCCCCCCCCCCCCCCCCCAAGACATAGGATTTTCAAATTTGGACAATTTTCCTTTTTTTTTTCCTTATAAACTTTTTCAGGTAAGAAAAAAAAATTTCTGTGGCTGGCCCCCCCACTTTCAAAATCGATGCTACGTGCCTGTGTTTGTCCAAAAAACTTTAACCTTGCCCATTACTTTTGCTTTCATGGAACTATGACTTTCATATTTCACATGTGTATTCCTTGAGACAAGACCTTTCTTTGTGTACCACCAAAGACCTTTGAGATTTCAGTACTTATGGTAAAACTTTAATCTTGGCTATGACTTTTGAACGGTAAAGACTAGGGCTTTCATGCTTTACATATACACTCTTAAAAAAGTTTTACTTAGTAGTCATTTTTTTACTTGAAATAACAAAGATAAGTAATAGATCATTACTAAGCATTTACTTAAAATTTTAAATCAATTACTGAAATATATGTCAATTACTAAATTCAAATGTTTTACTTGATTCTTGTATTTTAAACAATTGTTTTACTTACAAACTAAAAAGTTTTACTTAGTAATTTATATTTACTTAAATTTGTGTATATAAGTAATAACATTACTTGGTCTTTACTTACATTTTAACACTATTTACTATATATATAACTATTACCAAAATATTTTTTTAAATTGTATTTAATTGATTTACTTATAAAACAATTATTTACTGAATCAAGGAGAATTTAGAGCAGCTACAGTACAAATAATTACTAAATTGCATATAATTTTACACATTGTTGATGCATGCGTGGTGTTGTAAATTTTATAACTATGTACCTATATGCATTATGTAGGGGTACTTTAAGCCATTTGGATATCCATATGGTATTGAATAATAAATTTTTATAAAATTACAAAGCTGTTTCTTCACATAATTAAGGGGTCCCGACCCTCTGCTATAAATTTCACTTTAGAAAATTTGAAATTTGTAATATTGATTTTCATAAGCAACAATTACATTAGAGCCACAAGGAAAATAGTTTAAAGTATGAAGCGCTGCTTATTTTCTCAGAAATGATTTTTATGTCAGATCATAATATGAAGAAATTGAACACAGAGAACAGAAAGATTAACGATTTTTTATGACATTAAATTTAATATATGAGGTGCATATGAAAATAATACTTAGTATCATACCTATTAAAATCATGTTAGAAAACATCATGAAGCGATGCTTCCTAAGTCAGAAAATCGCAATGTTGTATGTGGTTGTAAGAAAAAATACATCTGTGAGGAGGAGTTATCTTTCTTCTAAATATTTCTTCATGTGAAAAAAAGTCATACTAATCAAAATGTTGTATTAAGTACTTGAAACATTAAACCATTTTTAAAATTGTCCTTAAAAAGATACAACTTATTCAATTTATAAGGCTTTTGATGTTGGATTTAAATGTTTTATTGTTAAATATAATAAAACAATTACAAAGAAATAGGCAAAAGAAATAGAAAGTATTGTTTCCAACACACACATATATATATATATATTCTGACAGACTACTCCGACTTCTCAATTAGGAAACTATAATCAAGAAAACTGTGAGCAGTATTCAGACTTTGAACTTTGAAATTTAAAGTTATCTCTCTTATCAGAGGGTCGGTACCTTGCAGTTTTTCTAGTAAATAATGTGGATATTAGTAAATATGATAGGTATTTCATTTACTTAGTATTCTTTTAAAGAGGCTGGGTGGTCGATCGTGGCCATTTTTAGACTATTCTGGTCTCCTTTAGAAGAAGAGCTTCATATAAAGATATAATAAAATGATCAAATTTTAAAACTAAAATTTATAAAATTTTTCTTTGCCAAATGATAGTTGACAGCTCAAGATATCATATCTAAAAAAATAAGTTATATCTGGTGGTTAATAAATAAAATAATCTGTTGACCCTCTAGCCTCCTTAAGTAATAATATTCTAGATTTTAATATATGTCAGTATTACATTTACTTAGCAATAATTCTTAAAATTTAGTAAATAGAAAGCATATAATCTCTAAATTAAGTAACAAGAGGCCCAGGGGCCACATCGCTCACCTGAGCAATTGGCTAGGAAAAAGCACATTTCAGATCAGAACTGAAAGTTTACTGAGGTTGGGGGGGGGGGGTTATGATTTGAACAAACTAGAATCTACACTTATATTCCCTCTAAATATCACTAGGCATACCTGTGAAGTACTTGAAAAGAAGATTTTAAAAGGTTTCCCTATATATTCCTATGTAAAACTTTTATCAGCCATTTGCCCCCCCCCCCCCCTACCCCCAGGGGAAAATTTGAACAAACTTGAATCTACACTACCTGGGGATTTTCCACATGAGTTTCATCTTTCCTGGCCCAGTGATTCTTGAGAAGAAGGTTTTTTTTAAAAAATTCCTAAATATTCCTATGAAAAACTTTGAACGGCCATTTTGGCCCCACCCTTCCCCGGGGGGGGGAGGGGGGTCATGATTTGAACAAATTTGAATCTACAAAATGTATACCTGAGGATGATTCCACATGAGTTTCATCTTTCCTGTCTCAATGGTTCTTGAGATGAAGATTTTTAAAGATTTTTCCTATATATTCCTATGTAAAACATTGATCAGCCATTTTGGCCCCATCCTGCCCCGGGGGTCATGATTTGAACAAACTTGAATCAACACTACCTGAAGATAATTTCACACGAGTTTCATCTTTCCTGTCTCAATGGTTCTTGAGAATAAAATTTTTAAAGATTTTACCTTTATATTCCTATGTGAAACTTTGATCAGCCATTTTGGCCCCACCCTACCCCCGGGGGTGATGATTTGAACAAACTTGAATCTACAGTACCTGAGGATGATTCCACACGAGTTTCATCTTTCCTGGCCAAGTGGTTCTTGAGAAGAAGATTTTTAAAAATTTTTCCTATATTTTCCTATGTAAAACTTTGATCGGCCATTTTGGCCCCACCCTACCCCCAGCGGTCATGATTTGAATAAATTTGAATCTACAGTACCTGAGGATGATTCCACATGAGTT